GATAGATTTAAATGTGAATATAAATTTGAGAGTGTAATAAGTAGTTGATAGCCAGAGAAATCCATTAAAGCACTAAGTAATCCACTTTGAGAGCAATTGCATTATATTTGTAAACCCGTTTAGTAGACATGTCCTGAAAACATTCAAATTGATTTTAAACCAGAAAATTCTTTATCGATTCGAACCTCATTTGATATTTTCACTTTAAAAATACTATCGCGTAGGATCTTGCTAAAATTGTTAAGTTTTATTAAAAATAGTACTTGTTTTATATAGAATTGTTAATATTTGATTGATTGGAAGTTTATTACTAATTATTTGTGTGGTTTTTTTTTTTTGACATTATTAGAGCGAAAGGTTGTAGGATATATTCAAATTCGTAAAGGACATAATAAAGTTGGTTTCCACACAGGTTTTTATTAAGTTCGAAGGAAAGAAGAAACGCCATCGCATTGCGGGTGCATTATAATTTATTCAAATATATATGGTACCAAAAATTATTATTACAATTTATCAAAAGTTCACTTTTCATATATTTTTTGCACAACTTTTATTCAATTCTGTCCAATACTTTGCAAAACTATTTAAGTACGAGTTTCATTCAAATATACTCAACGGAAAGCTCTTATCCTTAACAATATACAATTCCAGTCAAGATGTGTAATATAAAGCTGCTATATTGAACAAGATTTGGAATGTCGTTGCAAAAAAAAGCAAACAAGTATCGATTTTTATATTTTTACACAGTTACTCTAAGATTATATTATAATCTTACGGTCTGATATCTGAAGTGGATGTTTTCTCGTGCAACCTCTATAACACTCATTCAAATTAAGGATTTGCTATTTGACAGTAAATGCATGCAAAATGCAAAATACAGAGTCGTCTTCACAACAAGGATAACAAAAACAACAACTACAACAACAGGCTGATGAATGGCCAACGTAATCTAATCGAATCAATAAAAATCCTTTTAGCAGCAAATTGCAGAAGAAGGACACAAGGCCATGTCCAAGTGGCTTGCTGGCACACTATAAATATACAAATGCATGCATGTATGGGTGTGTGTGTGTGTGTGTGTATGCACAAATGTCCTGGCAGCCATACAAATGCCAATTAATTGTGTATCTTCCTGTGTGTGCGTGCGTGTGCATTTAGCAACAAAATGACAAAGAAACACCCCACAGCACAATTTTATTATCCCGAACTAATTTGAGGGTTGCTCCTCAACTTCCACACCAGTCGTCCTTTCTCTCTCTCTCTCTCTCTCTCTCCTTCTCTTTTTCTCTCTCTATTTTTGCTCGCTTGTATCCTTACACCCTCCAGCCCTGTTCGCCGATCCCTTGTTTTGATGTCATTCGTTACACGTGCTTAATTTCATTTAATTTATTTAATACTTGAAAAATACGTTTTTTGTTTACTTTTGTATTGAACTACACAGCAATCTCTCCCGCTCTTCCCTCCTCTCCTTCTGTCCCGCTCTTCAGACCTTAGTCCTGAGTGCGTACGAGTATGTGACTGGATGGGACTGCAAATGAATTTTGATTTGGCATTCGCCACGCGGCGTATCGAGTGTTTCATGAAGTACATATGTATGTACATATATATACTTGTACATATGTATGTATATGTATTCATCTATTTTCGACTGTTAAAAGGATTCAAGACAAATGTGTCAATTGGGAATTATCCACAGTGCTTGCTAGTTGGGCGTTTTTATAAAAGCTAGTCTATTGTCTACCACTTTTGCATTTAATTAGTTATTGATTTCTTCGCTTCGAAGCAATATGGGTTTACATACGATATTTATATCAGAAATTATGGCTTGTTTACAAAGCGAATATTCCAATTAAGTTCGGCGTTTACCAACACTTTAAAGCAAGCAAAACTATTCATATTTCGATTAGACTGACCAATTCAGACTAAAAAGATATTAATAAGGAATTTAGAATAATATAAATTCAAGTTACCAAATATCAGAGTTAAAGTTGTGTTGAGACTTAAGACTCAAGAAACATTGACTGTCGACATAGGAGGAAAATATATAAAAATTATAAAAAGCATCTTATAAGCTAGAAAAGCCTAGGAAGGAGAAATCTCATTAAATTACAATAATATCGAATTAACGCCTCCGACCCGGTGGGGGAATATTATTTACCCTTCAACTAGTCAACAAAAAGCGTTCGTAAACCCTTCGAGTTTATAGCTCGATAGCATTATTGTGATGATTGTGCTGCCCTGGTACTTGAAAATAGCCTGTGATTCTACCATTCTGGTTACATCTTCTTGAAAATGAGCTCCCAGGTATAGACTCGAGACATAGTATCTGGTTGGAAAGCCTCTTTAATATACCTATCGTATTGAGTTTGCATTCTATATCGATTGAGGTATTTTATTTGCTCTCAGAAAAAATGTAGTCGAGGTTAAAATGGCTATAATTTGTAGTTTAAAGTGATACTTAGATATCTTTATTCACTTTGTGTTCCCGAAAAATATAAAATATACTATATAAGTCCGCACATTTGTGTGTGTGCTTTAATAGATCATTCTTCAAAGGAAATATGTATCGTTATGTGGAAAGCGATTTTTTTAAAGTTCCACAATTAAAATAACGGGTTAATGAAAAAGAAAATGCTTAAATAGAAAAAGTAGTGCTTTTGACACAACATCGATCTCAAAAATGTTGTGAATATTTTGGAGCAAATCTCATTACCAAATTTATGAGTAACGGACTAACTCTCGCCTCTAAGTTTCTTAACTTTTCAAGATATTTTTTGTTATGATTAAAAATAAGTTAAATTTTGTATAGTTCGTATAGTATGTACTGGCATAAATAGTTTCCACTGAGCGTGACTGCTCTGGATGTGATCGATTCTTTGGCTTCGCACAATTCGGTTTCTTTTTTTTTTTTTAATTTTATTTATTTATTTATTTATAAGCCTTATCCTAGGGTTACAAGTATTGGATTATTTTTAAATGATTACGCTAGTCATTACACATTCAGTGTCATTTTGGATAGAAGCCTGCTGTACACAGGTTTTGAGGGTGGGAAATTTTTAATTTTTAAATTAGAGAAATAAAATAAATTTAAAAAATGTATTTCCACTAAATATTTTGAACAATTTTGATGAGCTTTTGCCTTGCTAAGAACAGTTTACGATACCTTCTCCCTATCTAGCGCGTTTAATCTATTCAAAATCCCAGTGCAAGTCGCAATTAAGTTATCATACAAGTATATATACAAGGATGCATGTACATACGTTGTAGAAGGACCATCTTAGGGCTCTGCGGGTCATTATCCATGTGGCATTCGATACACACGCACATCCTGAAATCATCGACTTAGGTATAATTATTGCCGACTAAAATTAGTCTGTGTTTGTCCATAAATAAATTACGCAAATTAAGCTCACATGCCCCATGAATGATGACCAGTTGGCCGACAGGATAATCGTTGTCAAGGCAAGCTGCGCCCACTTCCGAGTGCGAGTCGGAGCCAAATTTCAAAATCGAATGCTCCGATTTGCGGTTGTCATCGGCAACAATCGATGGGTGGTGGCCTGCATTGGCATAATTAATGCCATTCCTGGTCACAAAATCCAACCGCACGTGTCTGCCAGGACATCGTTCGTCAACTGAGTGTGTTCGGTGTGCGGAATGTCGAGTTCACATGTTGTGTAAATGTCTTAACCTGAGGGCTCGATGCGACTAGCAATTGAAATTATTTGTTGTTCTGTTCATTTTCGCATGACTGGCATTCTCATGCAAGTATTTCAAATAGTAGAGACGAGCATTAACTGATCGTATAGTGAGGGGTTGGAAATATTAATGCTTTCAAATTTGTACAACATTGATTTATTAATACTTTTTTGGCAAACAAATAATTGCTTTCAGTTTATAATTCTAACTCATTATGTGGAATTTGACGAGCTTGCAAGCCACAATCTGCAAAATAAAGCTTCTTAAAAATGTATAACTTCGAAATATATCATATGGAGGCGATTCATAATAATTCGTTTAAAAGTTCGCTTAAAACTGCTTGCCTGGTTTTGATGGAACGGAACTCTTTGCCTAAAATAAAAAAATATCAACTTTTTACATGCTTAGTACAGTTTCTTGACAAAGCAATGAAATTCTATTGAAATTGGAAGCATAGATGAAATTTAAAAGCACATTCTAGGCATAGCTAAAAGATTTAATAATTATACAAAGACCAATAACATTTCTGTGGATAACCAAAATGAAACCAAAATCTTCAAGGTTCTAGAAAATCGCTTGGAATCTAAAAGTAAATTTAGTATTTTTTGGATATATTGATATTCGATTTTTTTTAAATTGTAAAATTCTGAATCTGTTCTAAATTCTTTTCCACTTGCGGCCTGAAGGATAAACCACAAGTTTCAACACAGTTGCATTCTTCTAAATTCCAAATCTTAAACCAGAAACTTTGTTCAATAGGTGAAGCAATATAGCTGATTGAACACTGCAAAGACCAAATAGATTTCTGCGGTCACCCAAAATGACAACAAATTATTCATAGTTCCAGAAAATCGCTTATGATTTAAAAGTAAATTTAATATTCCTTGGATAATTTCATAGTTCGGGTAACCATAATGGAATTCTTTTTTTTTTAATTTTAAAATGAATCTGAATCTGTTGTAAAATCCTTTCCACTTGCGGCTTGAAGGCTAAAGCAAAAGTTTCAACACAGTTGCGACCTTCCAAATTCCAAATCTTAACCAAGAAACATTTGCTCAATAGGTGAAGTAGTATAGCTGATTAAATCAAATCACAACAAATTATTCATAGTTCCAGAAAATCGCTTGGAATCTAGAAGTATATTTTATATTCCTTGGATAATTTCATAGTTCGGGCAACCATAATGGAATTACAATTTTTCATAATTTAACAATTCTGAATCTGTTGTAAAATCCTTTCCACTTGCGGCCTGAAGGCTAAACCAAAAGTTTCAACACAGTTGCGACCTTCCAAATTCCAAACCCTAAACCAGAAACATTTGCTCAATAGGTTAAGCAGTATAGCTGATTAATCTCCTCAGCCCAAAAATAAAAAAATAAAAAAAAATAGATTCTTGAAATCGGAGCTGTGCGTCCTCCAGTAGAATGAGCGGTCTGGGCCCAGCAGCCTGTTGGTTGGCGCACAAGCGCATCGAGTCCTGGTCTCGCATGGCCAAGGAGCGGGTCGGTGCCGTGCGGCGCGTAACTCTCGACCGCAACTCTGCCGACGAGAGTAGCGGTAGTGGCAGCGGCAGCAGCGGCGCCAACAACGGTGCAACTCCTATTGTTGCCATTGGCGAGGTCACGGCGGACACTACATTGCTGCCACAGCCAATGACCCCGCCGCCGTCGGCCTCGTCCGTCACGTCGACTACCAGCGGCATTGGCAGCGTATCGGCAGGCAGTGTCAGCGATAGCTGCGATCTGCCCACGGACTCTGAGGTGGTTAGCGCATTGGACATCATCTGGTACTCCTTGACTTTACTAATCTATATGTCTATCTTGCTTTCTCTGTAATTCGCAGGAGGTTAACTTTGCCAAGGAACCGCAGCCTATACAGCCGGCCCAGCAGCCGCATGGACTTGCCAGCTTGGGCAGCTCCAGCAGCGGAGGATCCACACACGGCATCAATGCCGAGGTTATGCGTGGACCTGCCGAGGTCTTTCACAGTCCTTTGCACTTGCATCACCAGAGTCGCTCGTTTCCGCCGCGTCTGCAACGCACGCCTTCGATTTCTAGTCAGAGCAGCGTGGACAGCGCTCCGTCCAGGCATTCGGTAAGTTGAGAGCCCTCCCCCCTCCCAGTACCCCCTCAGTGTTGTGACCCAGCACGATTCTGTGCTTATCCAAAGTTCAAAACGCAGGGTCATCGCGGCTCCTCACCACAAATACGCACCTTCGGCCCCGACGGACGCAGCTCTCTACCCAGCGAGCCAGCCTTTCCACATCACCTCGCTCGTTCGCCCAGTCCCATGCGCACCATTTCGTTGGATGCCCGCTGTGGCAGCCCGGCCTCGACCGATGTCAGCGATTTGCGCACCCCGAGTCCCTCGCAGAGCAGCCTCGCCTCCCTGGCCGGCGGCTCGGCCTCCAGCATGAGCATGGTCGGGGGTGGAGTCGGTCCTTGCAAGGTTGTGGCCGGCGGTCGTTGCCTCTCACCTCTGCTAATACCGCCGCGTCCACAGCCAGGCGTTGATCCCACCATGGGCCCAGCCTCGCCTCTGGGCGCTCTACAACCGGATCTGTATCGCATGCCGGACGGGCCCGTCTATTTGACAGCTCCCCAGTCTAGTCATTCGGTGGGACGCCTGCACTTGCGAGTGAAGTACGACTACCATCTGTTCGACTTGACGGTTCACTTGATTGAAGGTAAGTCTAGATCGCTATTTGCAGAGCAACTCCCCATAGCCGGACACCCAATGTCGCAGGGTTTGTCTTCACTTAAGGGGGATATTCGCTTACGAATTGTCCAAATCGATTATATATACTCGTAGTATGTACATACAAGGAATAAGGGAGTTTAGGTGTGTAGTGCTTTCAAGAAAACATTTAACGATGTGTGGCCTTTTGGAAAGAAAAATAAGTTCTACAACTAATTTGGCGCGTTCACACAAGTCTTAACCATTTGTGATTTGTGATTTTTGATTATCGATTGTTGATTTGCCTCTGCCGATGACTGTTTTAATAAAACATTCCGATTTTAGCATTTTTGGTCAAAAACTCACAGTTGGCTGGGGTGCATTTTGCCAAAGGTCTCGACAAAATTCTGACTATGTCGCAAAATCGAAAAATCTAAATCATGTAAACATAATATTTTTCCGATTTTTGTTTTGTTATTTCGATTGATTTTTTTACTTATCCGAATCATAAATCACAGCGGTCAGCAGCTGAAATCAATAATGATCGATCACAAATCGCAAATCTGCTAAACGCGCCATTGATTAGGATTTGTTTGAATACATATTTAAGAACATAAAACATTAGTATTTGCGTTTCTGAGTAAATGACGGCAAGCAAAAGAATAGGAAGGAAAAAAGTTGTACTCTCAACAAAAATCAATGTTATTAAAATTTATATTTTCTTGGGCGTCCTTTTGCAGCAAAATCTGAGAGAAGACAATGCAGAAAGGTACAAAAAAGCAAAACTTGCGTATTCTTTTCCTCACTTAGTCTTTAAATTTGCCTAAAGAGAACCCTTTGAGGTTATTTGTAGCTCTCGAATAGTTCTGTTGATTGTGGGAAAGCCATAGATCAGTCACTCTTTATCCAAATAATATATGTTCTTCGGCACATTATCCTTTGAAAGCTGGACTGCACTCTGTTTAAGTTCTGTTTTAAATCAGCCTCAAAAATTCAGAAGAATCTATTACTAGACCCGGATCGTAGCGTGTATCTGCAAACTATATATTAGTAATGTGTTCTACAAGGAAGAATGTTGCAACTAAAGGCATGACATTTTAATTTGTAGTGAGTTGAACAAAATAAGTTAAGTACTTTATGACGAAATATAAGGAAAAGTAATCTCTGTCTCCAAAGGGACAACTTAAAACTTTAATTCCATGCAGTTTACAGAATTTTTTCTGGTGTCATCTTAAGAACCAGAGATAGTTAAAAGAATTACAAAAGCAACTAAAATACGCCGAACTCTTTCAACAAAACCAAATTCGTAAAAAGGCGAATTGTTTAATTGATTGCCCTTTATATTCATTCTGCATAATTTGTAGAGATATTTTATTAAAATAAGCAACCTAACAAGTTATTGGAGCATGTTGAATAAAGCTATTATCCGACTAAGAAAGCTGTCCGGCTTTGGGGCCAGTCTATGGATTCTCACTGTATACAAGTATATTTATACATTATAATATATATCTATTATAATTTTGATCGCAGCGCACAATCTGAGTCCCATTGAAGAGGGCGGCTTTCGAGATCCCTATGTACGCCTGATGCTGTTGCCGGAGGTGGACAATCGCAAACGGCAGACTCACATACATCGTGGCGAATCGAATCCCTACTTTGATCAGCACTTCAAGTTTCCGGTTTCGCGCGATCAGCTGCAAGGCAAGGAGCTGGTTCTCCAGGTACTCGACTACGATCGCTATTCCCACAACGACATTATTGGCGAGGTGCGCATTTCCGTGGACGGCCTCGACCTGTCGAAGTCGGTGGAGGTATGCTGAGCCCGAAAAGGCTATGGCATTCCGTAGATGTCTAACATTTCGGTTCTTCCAGATTTGGGGCGATCTGCTGCGCACCAAGAAGCCCAAGGAGGATCGACCGGAGCTCTTGTGCTCACTAAACTATTTACCACAGGCTGAACGCTTGACCGTCGTCATCATGAAGGCTAGAAACTTGGAAACCATACAAGAGCCCTACGTTAAGGTACACCTATTCGCTTATACCCTATAGAGCTTAAGACTTAACTAATCCACTCTCATGCCCCCCATAGATATATCTTATTCAAAATGGCAAGCGCGTCAAAAAGAAGAAGACGAGCATTACTAAATCAGATGATCCCACCAATCCCATTTGGAACGAGGCATTCACATTTAATTTGCAATCGAATTATCTTCACAATGCGGCCATTGAGGTGAGCTCGAACCTAAGACTAACTAGAAGATGCGCTAAAAGAAGGGTTTAGTCTGTAATTTTAATATAGAAGTAAAAGTTTGTGACGCATCAATATTCGAGATGTGCCGCCTCTATAGTCATAAAGGGATCTGTATAATATGGAATCTATGAGAAGATCAATGCACAGTAAAGGGACTGATGTAATACAAATATTCTTTAAATGGAAGTACCTGTGAAAACTAACAATTCGGACTTATTCGAACGACTGCTTAGAAGCTTCCAAAAGCCTAGAAGAAAACATGTATAGAATGCGAAATATTGGTTTAAAAATATTCTCAAGCTGAGAATGTTAGAAACAAGCAGGCCCTGCGACCAAATAAACCTCCGCCGCTCTGTTATATACCAGAAGCAAAAAGAAGAAGAGGATTATTGGAAGATAATTGTTTCACTAATACCTTTTATTAGAATTTCTAAATCTTAATTAAAATGCGAGCAGAGATAGAGAAGTATATACAGTAAATATAAAAAAAATAACTAATTAGTTTATGCAGCTTCGAAATATAGTCAGGATTGAAGAAATTCTCTAGTCTCCCCAGGGTGTCAAGTTTATAGAAATAAAATAAACTTGTGATGCCTAAAGATGAGGAGAGTCTACTTTCCAAGTTTGGTTAATGTGGCCTCAGCAGTTTCCGAAATACAGGCGGTCATACAGACGGACAGACATATCTAGTTGGTTTAAAATACAGTAAAAACTCCCTTAACGAACACCTCTTTTATCTGGACACTCTCTTCGCCGGACACTTTTTCTAAAACCTTTGAGCGGTGTATAAAGTATTTAAGTATCCCCTTAAGCGGACACTCCCAAGAGAGTTTTCTCTGTACTTGTATAAACTTTATGGGGTCGAGGGATGCTTTCTTCTGTCTGTTCAATACACCCTTTTTAATCCTTAAGTGCACGAAAATAAGTTCTTGAATAGATATGAACTAAAAAACATTTGAATCTCATCAAAAACAATTGTCTAATTGCAATTTTTTGTTCTACATTTTAGATCTATGTGGTCGGGGCGGGGAGCGAGGCGGCGGAGATCGGATGCTGCGGCCTCGGACCTCAGGAGAGTGGAACCGGCTGCCAGCATTGGCACGATATGATAAATAATGCACGCAAGCCGACGGCCATGTGGCATTATATTCGCTAAGCAACGCCACGCCCACCTTTGGGCGTAGGATAAGTGCGCTAAGTGTACAAAAGCATAATTCCAAGTATTTATGTATGTAATCAAAAGGTTTATCAAATTACTAATGGGTTTTAATGTAAATGGAAATGTGTGCGCTAAACTACAGAAATATATACTTGTATACATACATATATGTATAATGATTATAATATAAATAACTTGCATATACAAACATATTCGAGCAAGAAGTACTTACTTAGTTTAATTGTATCTACAAGTAAATCAAAATATTTAGTATGTACTTTACAAACCACACATAGGACACACGGTCTCCGAAATAAAGCTTAAGAGGTTGTGGCACAGGCAAAATATTTGCTAGAAAGGTTCTTCACGATTCTCTCCATCTTTTTGATCTATTGAGCTGAATACAGAAAATTGTTGCCCGCCGACTAACTAGCTGATAATATATACAATCCTATACTTGTATATATATAGTATATTATACACATTCTACTCTTTTCAAGGCCTATATGAAGCAACCAAGCTGGCTGTTGCTTTTTTATGAACATTTCTAATTACTTGGTGGCTTCATATAGGCCTTAAAAATAAACAATTAAATACTTGTATTTATAGAAGTTTTTGTGTAAATAATTTGCCTGTGTGAACACAACTTGACAAATTTAATCAAAACATAAGCATATGTATATTTGTAAACGTACTTGATTATTAAAGTAAACGTCCTTCTACATACATATATATATATATAAATATATATAAACCAGTTAAATATTTTTAACAAACTATTGTATATCCATAAGTATTCATAAACGAAAATCGGTATTCTTGACTGGAACACAAGTTCCTAAAAACATTTCCAAGAAGAATGAAAGAAAGAGAAACGTCAACCCCACTTATCGCGACATTACAACATAATTGTGTATGAATAGCCGACCTTATAGCTAATACTACACATGTATATGAACAATTTATTTGGCACTTCAGTGGCAAGCAAAAAACTGCGCAACTGCCAAGATTTGTGACATTTCCAAGTGGCAGTCGCCGCTAGTGCCAAGGATTGTTGACATTTCAAAAACACGGCAAAGATCCGACACTTGATCTGCCGCCGTCCAAGGCACTGGAAATTAGTCGAGTGTGCATTTCTACTAAATAATTATGAATTTGCACAAAACATTCCAACAATACGTGCATTATGAGTCCCCAGATGAGGAACGGGCTCGTCAATCATGCAGTCACAAGAACAAGACGAACACCAACCCTCGCCTCTCCGACTACTCCGACGATATTCCGACGATGTCCTCAGACGTATTCGCTTTGTGCCCCCGACAGTTGACAAATTGGTGCCCCTGGTGCTGTTCTTTTGAGCGCAGAAACTTATGAACCCTGGCCTGACAGACAGCTAGCCCTAAGAAAAAAACTAAACAAAAAACAACAGCAGTCGGCATAAATGCAAAAAAAAATCCTTGAAGCTGTAAAGCAGGGGTTAAACCTCTTGCGGGGAAGTTAGGGGAGCTACTGTCTCTCTCTCAATTATCTAATTTATAATTAGCATGCAACCGAAATTTATGATCATTGAACAATTTGTAGAGTCTAGCAGCAATGCAGGAAATGTGTCCTCAAAGCTTTGTCCTTTTAATGAAGACTATTCGGACGACTTCTGGGAATCGAAAAGGCAATTAGGCGTTCCTTAAACGAGGGCTACATAGCTGTGCAGACTAATAATTTTAAACTGTCGATGGAAATGAGGAAATAACTATTAAACAAAAATATGTATATCCATCAGCCATCAGTTTTTACAAAGCAAGCATTCAAAATACTTGTTTCTCTAGCTGGATGTTTGCTAGAAATTGTCTAAAAATTAAAAAAAGAAACTGCAGTGCAATCGGATTTGTTCGGATACTTTATAGTTGGGACAAGACATCCATTTTCGCATTCCAAAATTTTTTGTCATCTCAGAAATCCGCAACAATTTATTTTCTTTCACTTGAGGAATTTTTTCTTTTTGAACAATTTTTTAATCTTGAAAATATTTTCGCGTTAAAAAAATATGTATTTTAATAATGAAAATTATAAAATTTCAATTCTTATTAGTACTAAACATTTTTGGCTGAAGAAGGAAGAGAAAACGAAACAAAACTTAGATAAATTAAGATCACAAATTTCTTTAAATAGCCTTTTGTTACCGAAAGAAGTTTTTAAAAAATTTAGAGCCTACTTTCAATTTAGGCTATAACTAATAAGTCCCTACATCCGTTTTCGTTTAGAATTCATGAATAAAAATAAGTTGCAATTGTTCTGAATAGGGTTTTTGAAATTTTAAACTAAATTTTAGCCACTTCTTGGCATTTGTCCGAAGTCCAAATCTGTACTGTAAATGTAGCTGGTTTTTTTTTTCTATTCATAATATCTTGAATTGCTTTTAAAATTGTATGAAGCTGTTGGATTTGTTTTGTCGAGAAAAGCACACAAACAAAGGGTGGCTCTACTTTAAATTCAGGCTACAGCTAATAAGCCCATTCATCTCTTTTCGTTTAGAATTCATCAATAAAGATCAGTTGCAATTGTTCTGAATAGAGTTTTTGCTTTACATTTTAAATTAAATTTTAGCCATTTCTTGACATTTGTCTGAAGTCCAAGTCTGTACTGTAATTGTAACTTTTAATTTCTTTTAAAATTGTATGAAGCTGACAAACAAAGAGTGACTCTTTCTATTAAGAGTATACTTTCAATTCAGGCTACAACTAATAAGTCCATTCGCCTCCTTTCGTTACGAATTTTTTATAAACTTTTCTAACAATGGATCTGGTTTGGCTGAGAGTAGAACTTGACATTTGTGCTAGATCATCGACGCTTTCTTAAAGTGAATTTCGCAATTTTTTAAAAACTAGTCTCTCAGTTATTCACACTTGCAGCATTTGTTGAAATATTTGAGTTTTTAAATTCACAATCGCTTCGAAATGCAATCTACACAACGATAATTGGTTCATAATCTATTTGTTTGTGAATTTGTGCGAATAGAAGAGCTACATATAGACATTTTTCTGATCCGCTATGAGTGTATTTTCGATGTTGTGCCGTGAAATATTGTTGGTAACCCACTGACCTGCTTGTAGCCAGCGAAACCAACCAACCAATTGTGTATATATGTATAACTATGAACGAAATGTGTGTGCGTGTGTGTGTAACTATGTATTCCTTAGATATGCACTCAATTGAATTATACATATGTATTTGCATAAGTTAAAAAAGCATTGCTTAAAGTATGTATTTTGCTCAAATCGTTCCGAAACAGGCATGCATTCAAAGAAGCCCGTAATATTTGAAAGCAACTCTTTAAACACTACTAAGTATAGAAATATGATATAAATGTTTACTTTAAACAAAAAATATTGTAAATATAAAAGACTTGATCGGTTCACGTGTTAACTAAGCAACAAAGCATCGTACAGGCGATTGATTTTGAGAATATGGCAAAAGTGCCAGCCAAGTATCTGAACAAACGAAGAAATCCATATTTCTAAAGTTTCTCAGATGAAGTGTTTTTGGAGCACGAACTCTTAAACTATATCACTGGTTTATTTAATTCCATTTAAAATTAAATTAAGCTTATAACAAAAATCCAATCTATTGCCGCATTCGGGAGAAACACGGAATGTCATCTCATTGCTGAGATCGTTTAATAAGTTCTTGATTACAATTCTTGGGAAGTAGTCCCCCAAAAAATGAAAGGGACATGTTATCTCTGGATTCGTGAAGAGGCAAACATTTCGTCCAACATCAGCAGCCCACAGCTCGACTTTCTGCAGTCCATTCTTATAAACGTATTCCGTTCCAATAATTCCGTGTATAATCCCCAAATTTTGCGACGCTTATAATACTAAGTATAAGCTTGTAAACCAACAGAAAAGTACAGGGAGAAAGTGAAAATTTATCGTTTGAATAATACGAATCTTTTCATCTATGTATATAGTATGTATTGGCAGATGGAATATTTCTGGGGCTACGCACGTTGCATTTCTAATCAAATTGGATTCATTTTTAATTCATCTTACACTTTTTCAAATAATAATAATTCATTCCTATTTGTTATTTCCTTTTTCTCTATATATTGTATACTGCATATCCAGCGAGAATATTAATATAAATATTTATTATCTCACTAAATGAAATCGCGAAAGTGTATAGTTTTTTGGAAGGTAGAAACTCCGAAGAAATAAAAATGCTGAAATACCTCCGATTTACACAGAGCTCTGTTACTAGAAACATGAAATGCCAAGCGCCAAGCAAGACAAATATGTACAAAATAAAGAGAAACAAAAGTCAAGCATGCACCTATCAATATACATATATACATACCACATACATATATATAAATAGAGGCACAAAAACCAACGTTAAACTATGTTGGCTATGAATATACGAATAGTAACGAATAAACCTTAAGTCGATGGCAGTCGATAATTGGAACCTTTAAAAGAAATAACACCAGCAAATTATACAAATATGCGGATATACATACATACATACATGCATGCATACATATGCATTCTATATTCATGTAATGAATCAACATAATGTACTTACATCCTAATGGGTATACAAATAATAATAATAATAATTATAATAATAACAAATGTGTGTATTATGTGAAACCAAATAATTCAGTGAGCAAATAAATACATAGCTAAAAACAAAACATCGCTTTGACTTTTTGTGTAAAATATGGGATGTTTATAAAGCTAGATTTGATGGTAAAAGATTTCATTTTTGTTAAAAAACTATTCCCATACAGGTGCATACATTTTTTTAGTATGAGAAGAAGCTGGTTTTATTAATCCGATGGTAGGGAAATATTAAAATTTTTCAAAATTAAAGACGTGCTGTAATAATTTTCTTAACTATCTCTTAACTTTGTTAAAAAAAACCCCCGATAATTTATGTGAAACCAAATAATTCAGTGAGCAAATAAATACATAGCTAAAAACAAAACATCGCTTTGACTTTTTGTGTAAAATATGGGATGTTTATAAAGCTAGATTTGATGGTAAAAGATTTCATTTTTGTTGAAAAACTATTCCCATACAGGTGCATAAATTTTTTTAGTATGAGAAGCTGGTTTTATTAAACCGATGGTAGGGAAATATTAAAATTTTTCAAAATTAAAGACGTGCTGTAATAATTTTCTTAACTATCTCTTAACTTTGTTAAAAAAAACCCCGATAATTTAAAATATCGGGGTTTTTTTTAACAAAGTTAAGAGATACTTAAGAAAATTATTATTATTTAAAAATTTTTACTACAACTCAGTGGAATTTCAGGAATACCTTCCTCATTGTTGTTGGCGCCACTAGCGGTTATTATTTGTACTAATTAATGCAATGTAATTATATGCTGCATTTAAACAAAATTGATTGTGTTTATCAATATAGTATGGTTTAAAGACAATACATATTTGACATTAATGTGCTATTTCTTTTATTATTATTTCAAGTTAGATGTTCATTACATTATTGTTAGTTGTTAGTTAGTGCAATGCAAAGTACATATGTGAATATTTATGTCCATAGTATGTATGTGAATTGTGTTTGTTTTCAAATGCGCTCCCATCGGCTATTTTTAGAACTTCACATAGATTGCTAAAGTAAACAGTGCTGCCAAGTAAATAATTTTAGTGCATACCTAAACCTTATTGAAATGTTCATCTTCACCATAGATGATGGGAAACCACAGATGGCGTATTTTTGAATTTGTAATTTTTAATTTTCATTAATTCAAATAATTTAAATACACATCTATGATATAAGAATTACAACAAAAATACAAAAAAAATTTAATTTGTGGCTAAGCCCAAAGAAATTAATAAAATAATATATGAAGAATGCAAGCAAACAAGAGCAGATAACCCAATTGCATTCTAACAATAAAAATGTCCAATTGGAAATGTTCACATCTCGTTTCAAATTCTAGTTTGGCAGCTTTACAGTTTTTTACAGTTACTAGGATTATACTGAGAGTATTTTGGAAGAGGGAAACAAAAAACGAATCTATTTATAATAGAATAGAAAATTGTAAGCTTTGATTCACTTTCAAAATTTGATAACTTTTGTAATTTTTGAAAAACAAATAAAACATTTCTTGAGAAAAACGAAAGCATTGATTGAACTAAGTCTATAGAGAATTATTATTTATATCAATTTATGTTACTATTCGCAAAATAAAAATAAATAATTGGTTTGCTGTAATTAAAAATTCTAGTGCTAGTAAAAATGTGAACTTAATGCATTTTGAAACCCTTTAATAATAATTATAAACGCGGACATCTAGTCAATATGGCCAATAGGAAAGAATAGAAAAAAAAAAAAAATTTTAAATAAATTATTTTATGAAATGGTTTTGTTCTAGACAAGCCACTTCTGTATTTTCATAGCTTTGTATAATTAGAGCTTGTAGACATAAAACTTAAGTAGTTTTAGTAGGGTATAGAAAATTCCAGGTAACAAACTGTGTGTCCCTTAAGGCAACTAAATGGCCCTCATTGTAACCAATTTCATTTTTGTACTGTCTTAACTTATCTTTCTTTTATTGTTTGTTTCTTAGCGTCTCATCTCATTTCGTACATTAAAAACAGCTATTTATAAAGTAAGGATATATGTTATAATTTAATTAATTTAATTTAAAAATAATACCAACAATAATTTCCCTTTAGAAACACACTTCTTTTTGCTTAATAACCTTCAATTAACTTCATTTATAATATCTATTCTTACCTTAAAACTGTTAGACTGTTTTCTAACAAACAAATTATTTCTCTGGCAAAATGTAATTATTTAACGTGTAGATTAATTAATTATACAGGTGCTTATAAACATTATATTATTATTATTTCTTGTTAGTATTGAATATTACTTGAAAGCATCATGCAGTTCATTATTTTGTTTACGTCACGTCTAGCTGGCTGGCTGTTAGCGCGCTGTTACTGCACTGTTAGCGCGCTGTTAAGTGGTGTTAGCAGCCAGAGTATCTTTCAGTTAAATTTACGCTTTCAGTATCTGAAGAGTTGTCGCCGCGTGCGGTTAGGTTTCTTTGCGCAGCGCTAGCCGCTTTACCGCATTCAGTTTTTAGATTTGAACACGCGATTGAAAGTAAACGAAATGAAGTGAAATTTAACAAAGAATGTTAATTGCTATTAATAAACAACAATTACAGTGGATGCATAAAATTGAAATTGTGTGAAAATATGTAAGAAATGCAAAAACAAAATTAATAGAAACTAAACACATGTTATGTTTGGAAATGTGCAAAAAATAAAAAAAGGAATAAGTTCGGATAAATGTTTCGCGGCGCCCCAACTTGTGCTCCACTAATTTTTTGTGTCATTTACATTTGCATTGCATTATAAAAATAAAAGTTGCTGTCACCGCCCGTGTGTGTGTGTGTGTGTGTGTGTGTGTGAGTGCGCATTAGTTTGGATGCTTTTGAAAAAAGGCGCCATTTTGTCTCTCTGCTTTTGAGTGCATTGTTTCGCACACACTCGTAGCTGTAATCAAGCCGGAAGTGTAAGCCGCACAAAGGCACTGCAAACATGACAAGCGTACCGCCTCTCGCAACTCCTCCCCCCGCCCCCCAGCACCCACATCACCCATTTCACCCACATGCGACACAACAACAACATATGCAAGTTAATATTTGTCTAGTTTTTGAACGTTTAACTTTTGTCTTTTGACGTTGGCAGCACTTTGTCGGCAACTCATCGCCATCTTGTTGCTGCTTTTGTCTGAAAGCTTGAAGCAAATAGCTCTACTTACACACACACACACACACTTGTGCATGTGAAGGATAACTGCACGTGACAGATATGCATGTGCGAGTGCGCCAGTGTGCGTGTGTGCGTGCGTTTGTGGCTCCTTTGCGCCGTAAAATATGCAATTAGAATGACATCAAAGCGCTGCACCGCTCTGCTGTGCCAGGCCCGCCCCCTCCAACAGCCCGCCGCTGCTCAACTATGCGCTTTGATACACTGAATAACACACTGAACCACTCTCAAGTACCCGGTCATTAGTGTATGCGCTCCTCCGGCCACTCCCCCCTTCCCCCTTCCCAACATCCCTCCTCCTGCTCATCCTCCCATCGACTACTTCGCGTTTGTGTCACTTTTCAGTCGCTTTTCTGGCGGCAAAGTTGTCGGCGCTCACATACCTACGAGCACATACATATGTATGTACATTTGTATATACAAGCATTATTTATTTATATTTTTTCACTTTTAATAAAATGTCGCCGCTCTGTCGCTTTGGCTATGGCTTTGGCTTCAGCTTTATGCTTTTCGCTCTTTCTCTCCGCGCGCCACACTTGCCGGCGGCCGGGCGAGGTCAATTGGCTTAATTAGTGTGTGACAGCATTGAGGGGCGGCCACAGCTTCTTTTCGCCGCTCTCTGCCAGCTCCTCTGCCAGTTTTGAAGGCTTTGCACAAACAGTCGTAGATTTGGTTCAATAATGCAAATTATTCCAAAAGTTTTTCTACTCATTTGGGCCCCTCCCCATTTTTAACTTGCGGCCTCGTTAATTTTAATCGCATAATTTTCTACTATCTGGCGTCAGCATCATCTTCAGCTAACAGTGCAGAAAGGGGGGGAGTACGGGCTCGCACTGAGCACTTTTTATGCCCTTCATTAACAATCCGAGGAGTACATTATTTGTACGATAATGCTTGCAACAAACAGAAACACATGTGTAGACATCTACATATGTATGTATGTCTATCGTTTGACTTAAAGATCCGTTATGCCATAACTTTTCTCAGAAATCAATAAAAATATAAATTTATAAAACTGTTGCCGATTGGCATTTTAGTTGCCTGTAGTCTCTCTTTCTTCAATCTTGGTTTAGAAACGAAATTTATTGTACTGCGAACTGGTCGAACTTCACAAATATACTTATCATGATCTTAACAATTAATTACAATTACCCTTGGTGTGTACTAAGTCATCAAATTTGATCGTAATCGAATTACATTTGGATGTAATTTATTTGTTGGTCCGATCGTCTGATCTAAGCAAATAAAGCTGATCTTTAAAATGTCATCATTGAAACAGAAATAGCTCAAAAATATTAGCTGACATAGGAATGGTGGACTGGAATTTAAAAATTTCACTAACTTTAATTTAAAATAGTGGTTGCTTATGTCACGCATCCCAGATATGGTATTGGTGCTCCAGATGGAACCCTAGAAGTTGACGAAATGATAGAAGCGGGTCATTCCGGTGCATATATTTCGGATTTAAATTGGGAGTTTAAAGCTGCCCATTACGGTGGATGATAGTATTAAATTTACCAACATTTTAAAGAATTAATGATAATTTCTGGAATTTTATATTTGCAAATTTAATCTTTTTTTGCCATATTTTTGAGTAATTAAATAAGTGGACAGGCATAGCGTATTTGAAAGTCAAAACCACTCACCTGTGCTTTTTTTTTATATCGCGTTTGTAGTTTTTGTAAACAAACAATATATAGTATGTACATATGTGGATTAAAACAGCAGCAGATCTGAAATCCAGTACATACAGTATTTGTTCAATATTGTGAAATGAGAATGAAGGGAGCTTTTAATGTGCGCCTACTTAGTAGATTGCAAATAATAGGCGGACTATGATCATTAACTATCGGATAGGGTTTTTTAAGAAAGTGATTACTGATCAGCTAAAATAATAAACAAGTTAAAGTATGAAACAAACTGTAAATAATATTAAGATTTAACATGAATTGAATTTTTATAATATTTGCAGCACTACTTATATTCTAATATAATTAAATTTTTATGCCATGTCTTAGTTTCTAACTTGAATTTTCTATATGAATGTACATTCGTTATTTAAACACCTCCATTGATTTCTGTTTATAAGAAAGTGCATAAATATTGTTTAAAAGTGAATTTGTTATGGAAAATGCCGCGAAAACAGCAATAAAAACAAACACGGCATTGCATTTAATTAACGACAAAAATACAAATTAAAAACACAATACGTTAAACAAAGCAATTCAAAAACATGAAACACAAATCAATTCGAATTCAGTGGAATCGAGCAGTCAATTGAAAGTGTTGAAAAAGGCCGAAAAAAGTCACAAAATGCATTCAAAGTAGACCAACTGATTGAACGCACCACAAACCAACAACAACAACATAAACAACAACGCTGAACGAGATAAAAGTAACAACAATATTAACAACAACAACAACGCGTCATGCGACTGCCGATTGTTTGCGTGACGCTGCTGACGCTGACGTTAAGCGCGGCTGCGCTGCGACAGCCACAGACACCAACAGATGCTGAGGCAGAGGAGAATCAAAGCAACAAAAACGCACATTTGGAGCGCCACGGGCGGCGGCGCAACAACAACAACAGCTCCAGCAACAATAAAAGCAATAATGCAGCGGCTACCAGGCAACAGCTGCGTCAGCCACAAAGCAAACGGCAGCAACAGCAACAACAAAGGCCAAAGCTAAGCAGCGAGGAGGAGGAGCAGCAGGAGGAGGACTACGATTGGACCGATGTGGACACAAGCGCCATGGCGACAGGCGATAGCTTTGAGGCTGTTGTGGAGCCAGTGAGGACACAAAGCGCCCCCTATGGTAAGTGAACGCAATTAGTTTGCTCTCCGTCGGCTTATCAGCACTCGCACTCTGAGTCACAGCCTCTCCACACTACTGAGCAGGCCTTTTTACATTTTATTTTATATTTATATATTAAGATTGTTCTTCTTCTTAGTGTGTCGCTAAATTCAAAAGTTTGCCGACAGCTTATCAGCTGTTGTTGTTGCTCTTCCACAAAATGCAATTGACTCATGACACTTGTTGCTGCTCCCATCAAGCATTTGGCTTGGCAGATGTGAGGAAGAGGAAGAGGCAGAGGAAGTTGGGGAAGCAGTTTTTAAGGCAACAACAACAACTACACACAAACTAGCCACAGAGACTGGTGGCTATAAAATGTTTCACGCACACTCATTCGAATAAATAAACACTTGTTGTTGTTTATAAACAAAGTAGCAGGCAAGACGCCGCGCATGATCGCGTAATTTCAGTTTATTTGTTTATTCGAGTACCCAGCATGATTATTTACGTACAATGTTAACCCATTGATGGGAATTGTTGCAATTCCACAGACAAGAGTGCAAGACCTTCGAAGTCATTCAATCCATAGGAGCAATAAGTATAAGAGAAACTTATTCTAATGGTATTTTAAAATCTCAATCAAAGATCTTTGGAATGGCTAATATGCATATAATATCGAAATATATCTAAATGGCAAACACTTATCTGAATTATACGTTACGTGGAATAACATAAAACCAAAACCAGAATCATCATTTCTAGCTTGAATGTACATATGTATGTAAAATAATTTTTACTGTGTGACTCTGGTAGCAAAATTAATTCTAAATAGTCTCAAAAACAATTTCCCTTCTAATCGCTTAAACGTCCACAATAAAATTGAAATGGACGTTTTCCGTCCTAAAAAGGCATTACTAGAACTAATTTGCTGTCCAGCCAACAGGAAATTGTCGTTCCCATTAAACGTCATAGCAGAAAAATATCTTTCAGGGATATTGCTTACCTGCGAGACCGGACTTCTAATTGCTGATAAAACAAATAGATAATAAAAAAAATGTATGCAAAAAAATAATAGGAAAGCAAGCGGTTGTTAAGGGAACTCAGCCCCAAAATCAAATATTCTTTTTAAGTCTGTCAATCAATTCTAAAATCGAATCTATACAAAAGCAGTTCCCTCTCATAGTTTTTAATAGTTGGGCCTAATTATCATAATCATGGGTTTCTAAGAATTTTTACGATTTACGTGTTCTAGAACATAGTATGGCAAACTAATTAATGGGGGGATCAATTGATTTACCACTTTCGTGCACTAACCTCGTCCACTTTTTAAACTATAAAATATTCTGTAAGGTAAAGTGTAGCTTGCCTTAATGTAGTCCAATAATTTAAAAGAGAAGTCTTCTTCCTAAACTACTATATTTCATGGATTTCAGTATATATATATAGATTTAAATTTAGCTTACAGAATTCATCGAAAAATATGTTGGCTTGTAGATTTAATGCCCACGAAAGAGAGCAAATTATCCAAGATAGCGATTATTATGCTGAAGCTAAGCCCCTTTAATAGAGGCTGTAAAAATAGCAGGATTTGTAAAAGTGCTATACTGGTATTGAATGAAAATGAAAATAGCTAGAAAGCAAACAATTATAGCATTAATTGAAACTCATTACTAAATTACATTCACAGTTGGATGAATTAATTTTGTTTTGAAATTTTAATAAAATAATAAATTAATGTCCCCCCGAGAAAACGAACATTAGAGCTCTTTCGTCCCTGACTGTTAATCAGTTGGCGGACCCCCATCTGTAGAGCTGGCGAGCGTGGGCTTTATTATAATTATTCAGTCGCGTTTATAGAACGACAATTCCCACTTTTCACTTCCCACTCGCCAGTCGCCACTTAATCAAAAGCAATCTCTCGTGCTGCAATGAAGTGCCTTTAATTGAAAGTGCCAAAGATACTTACGAGTATATGTAAGCGCATCATCTATCATATACAGACCTATACATACTTGTATATGTAGAAGTACACATGTCCATATGTCTCTTGGTGCGTGTCTCTAAATTGAAACTGTGTTAAAAATTAGTTTAAATTGCGGTCTCAAGAGGAGGAGCAGCTGGCGCCAGCATATTCAGAAGCCCAAATGCCGGTTGCTCCGCGCTCCTCGTTCTTTGTTCATCGCTCAACTCATAATTCCATTGCCGACTTTATTTGCCGGGTGTGTGGCTGATAAATGTTGCAGATTTCCAATGAAATCCACACACACACACACACACAATCATACGCACAAAATTGCAAATTCTTTTTTGTGGTTTGTTTATGGCCATTAAACGATTGTCGTTTGTTTTTCACAAAAGGGAAATTCTTCAGTGCCATTGGATCTATGCGCTGAATGCTAAACGAGCTGCCTGCAAAGTTGTCGGCGATTTTCCGTTTGATTGGCGGCCATTTGAAATGTTTTGAATACTAATAACAATTGGGCTTAGAGATATATGTGCGCCTTTATTGCTGTTTGCATCGAAGTGTGCATAAAATTGATAATAAAATTATAATTTATGTTGCCGGCACGTACCCAGCCAGTGTCGCCAACTATGGAGGCAATGCGTCATTATTACCTGACAGTGGACAGACAGGTTGTCATCACTTCAAAAATTCTTGAAATTACTCGCCAACACGACTGAATATTGTCAAGTATAATTAAGTATTTCCTAACGAGCTAACGAACCACACAGGCTAATCAAAATTTGCTCAAATATTTATTTTATTATATAAGCAGGCAGAACAACTATCTTCGGGTACAGAATTGGTATTGGGTTTTATTTATGGAATATTACATTCATGATATATTCGTATGTAGTTGTTAGCTTCGATAAATTTGGAGGCAAATAATTTTATGAATACTCCTTCAATCAAAGTAAGCTATTGAAATACAGAAAATTTATAAACAAACTTTTCATTTAAAAAAGTAAAGATATATTAAAACCACAATAATTCAAGCTCCAATTTTAAAAAACCGAGTATGCAGTTTTTTTCGTATTCTTTAATAGAATATAAAAGTTTGAAGCTGATCGGTGCAAAACAAGATTTTTTAAAAAACTTTCGTTTACCTCTTTTGGAGGTAGAATTTTCCAAAACCGCTTGTTATCGCCCACCTTCTCTATAAAGGGATTTTTGAGTCCAAATTTCAATGTCCTAGCTTTAGTCAATCAGTCAGTCTCTCAGTCAGAACAAATTGTTTTATATATATTGCTTAATATAGTAAGAGGTTATTAATTCGATTCAGATACCTGTCATGGACAACATTTTACAAAATTGGAAAGAGCTTAATTTACGCCTATTTTATTGAAATTTTTTAATTTGAAAGTTCAACCCTAAAGATAGTAAAGGCGAGCCAAAGCTCTTTTTAATGCACAAGCTTTTTGATTAGCATTACTTTTATTCTGAAACCTTTCAGAGGAAACTGAATCAAATTGTAAATGATAAACTGTTTCAATATAATTTATTTATTTATCTCTTTTGTAATTACCAAAATGGAAACGGAAAGATTATTGGTGCTTAACTGTCCAAAAGTTTCGGGATTGGATGCAGGTTAGAAAATTCATTAGATACTTGTATTTATTTTTCTAATCGGCATACAAGTAAAACTTTTGAACATTCCTTGACTGTTCGGGTCTTTTAAATTTTCAAGTGTTCTGCAATTGGAATTGAACGTCGCTGTAACCAGATCGAACAGATTGTTTTCATTAGCGCTGGTTCTACAAAAAGCAGCCAATTGCTTGCTCATGCCAAAATTCGCCTACTTTTTTGTACTTATTTTCCATTAGACAAATCAGATCTGACACTTGACATGCACGCACAGACACGCAGACACACTCAAATAAGTTATAGAGGAAGCCAAGACTTGGGGGAAATTAGCTGTTATTGAGACGTTTTCTTTATTTATAGGCCGCATCTGTGTCGCTGCTTCAGCCAGACTGGCTCTTCTGGCTCGCTCGCCGTTGACAGCTATAGTAACAAACACACATACTCGTACATATATATTTACTTATAGATATGTGAGTAAAAACGTGAAGATGCAGCCCACACTCTAAAGCCAGAAAGTCGTGAAAATAAATTTGCCCAACTTTGCAACTACATGCAACATGCAACATGCAACATCATAAAAATAGCAACGAATGTGCGGCCGTCCATATAATTGTCGACAATGCATTATACTTACATATGTATATGCCAACCAATTCATATGTATGTATGTATGTCCATAGAAAAAATCAAAAGATTTGTACTCAAATAGATACAAAATAAGTAGGGACAAATGTAGAGTAATCTCGGAAATTTCTATACCAAGTACGAACATTTGACAAATTAGCTCGTTGTTTCATTCTCCAAGATGTTGATTGTATAGATAGGCTTGTTCCCATTTCCGATGTTGATAGAAATGTTTGGAATTTAAATATTGCTGGCTGTTTCGATTTCAAAAAAGGAGATGATAACTGCTTGTTAGATTGGAATCAAAGGCTTAGTTTCAGATATAACTGATTGAACATTTTAATTCTGAAACCTAAACAACAAAATAAGAAATACACACAGCGCTAATACTTTTGTAATCCTTTAAAGATGATATATCTTCCTCTGACTTTCAATAAAATTGATCAGTTCTTAAGTTATCATCATTATAGTGGATTATCCTATCAAGTTCAACGAATTGTTATTTTTAAATTAAATATTAAAGATTGCAGGATGATTTGCATTTTTAAAAACCTTAAAACGCCTTAAAAAATAGTGGCTACCCAAACAAAATTTGATAAATTTATTTTTCATAAATATGTTTTAATATTCTTTTTATAGTTAGATACCACTTTTATAGTATACCTAAATTAGCTTTTCTCGTACTTATTTATATAACATATTTTTTGAAAATTTAAGTGACTTTAATTAAATGTATTTTAATTTAAATGTAACACAGGGTCTTTATTTATGGAGTAATTCATAAACTTATTCAAATTTTAGTTTTAGTTATATTATAAACTCGTATAATTATAAGTATTGGGGGTTTCAATTCATGTTGTATATAATGCCATAATTCTACTTTGAACATATACGTTTGGCAGGCTACCGTAGATAAGCCATTTGGGAATTGAAGTGCAAAGTCTGGCAAACATTTAAAGTCAAAATATTGAGAGCCGCCAACAGAGAGCAAGGGAGAGCTAATGATCTCTCCCACGCAGTATTTGTCTCTTCCGCATACGCTATTCAAGATGAATATTACGGGTTACGGGTTACTATTGGACTTAAATTTGACTTAATTGGTATGAATCAAGTGTATTGGGAACTTTACATTTTGAGGAATGATTGAAGACAAGCAGTTTCTTTATTTTTGTCATTTTTCTAGCAGTGCATAAAAGCATACAAGTATATGAATATTTTGTGTTCATTTGTTTATGTTTTTTTTTTTTTTTTTTAATTTGGCTGAGGCGTTTTCTAAATAGATAAATGCTTGTACCTATTCGTATTAAATCAAAAGCATTTCATGCCAATTTGTCAGGTTGGCCATTAAACCAATGCCAGTGCCCATAATTTGCACAATTTGGCGGCAGATGCCGAAATCAATTTCCATGGCGAATCAAAACCCAAATGTGACGACGGCATATCGTGTAGAAATCAAAGAGCATGTCACTAGACTTCAAAGTAAATGCGCTAAAATTAGACCACAACTAAAAATTGTCGGGGACAGCGAAGAAAAGACCACAACATCAACAACAACAACAACACACATTTCTATATACATTTATGTATACACATACATATATATATATTGAGGTAAGAGGAAGAAATGAAAGAAAATCATGCCACCACAACAACACATATATGTACATATATGTATGTATGTATGTATGTACATATGTGTGTTAGCTAGTATGTATATAGGAATTGCACACTTAATTAATGAGCATGCAGCGCTTTTGATCTCGCCCTGTGAAGTTCACTTCTGAGTTCTGCTGATGGACTGGCAGAGCGAGAGCGAGCGAGAGAGAGAGAGAGAGAGAGAGAGAGAGTTCCCCATTCCCATTCCCATTCGCAACGCACCAAAGTGACAAAATGAAATTTTTTACGCACTCAACGAAACTCTTTGAACATGGTTCCCCCTCCTCTCTCCTCTCTCCACCACCCTCCTGCCTCCTCCTCCACTTGTCGACTTGCCCCGCTTTGGCTGCTCAGACATGTGCATATGTCACACATGTTGGATGTTGGACGTCCCGACATCTGTCGCCTCCCCAAGAAAAGTTCAACACCCAATGAGCAAACTTTAAATGATGCAAAACACACCCAACAACGATTTTGGGGGGAGGGATTGGGGCGCTGATGACTAAACGGCAAGTGCTTAATAAGTAATCAGTCACAGGGACTTATTAGAAGAAAAAGTGGGCTGTATTAAAACAATTAGTTGCAGGGTCTTCAACAAGCCAAAGATCAGAATAACCTCAACAACTTGCACAACTTTTTCGCGCTTCAAACAAATCCACAAGTGATCTGAATAAGTCAGGGAAATGCGAGAAATGCGAACATTAATCACATGGCAAAAATATGTTGGAACCCTACATCAATTTATCTTTGCAAATGGCTGAGCCAAGGCTTTTGATTTATAGGCTGATCTTTGGCCAGATCAACCGAACTAATTATGGCCTTTTTTTCGTTGGCTATAGGGAGAGCTTCTGTTGCTCATATAACTCGGTCATATAATTTCAAATGCGGTTTAATTAATATTTTACTTTATAGCAAGTGATTATATAGAGAATTGTAGAAGTGAATCGGTTGAGGGTGTTTTTATTATTTAATGGCTAAAAGGTTAAACTACATTTTCATTCTCAGCATAAAAATAAATGACCAAATCATTCTACATTATGAAACGTGTTGTAGAAAGTATGTTCAAGTCGATTAACCATTTAAATATATTTTTGATATAGAAAAAAAGAGTTTAAAAGTATAGTATTCTCAATCTATTAAACAAATTTCATCTTAAGAAACTTGCATTTTTTAAATGATTTTTTTTTATAAAAATTGGTCGGTATAATTACAAGCGGTTATAGCCCTAAATAAAATTGAAGATGGCAACTGATTTCCAAAACAATTGCTTACAAACTTAGGGAGATTGGTTAAATTGAAGCTTTGAATTTTTAATTTACCCCAAAGCTGCTCCAAAAAAGTCTTTCAGCGCACTAAATGGTAGTCTGAGATTTGTTAGATATGCACAATTCTACAACTAGCAGAAAATGTTGAAAAAAATTCAATTTTGTAAATAGAGAATAAAGATTTAGAAAAAAATGGGTACTATGCAGAAATAAATACTTGTATTAGGATTTGCGGGAGCATTTTTAGATAGAAATGTAAATTTTATTAAAAAATCTTTTAAAACTTTTTTTTGATGTTGAGATTATATATTTCTTTCTCCCAGTGTTTCTAACCGCAAACAACAATAGGCTTAGAAAAATGAACTGACTCTCTAGATAATCTAAATTTAAGACAGTCTGGACATATGACGTTCGCAAAGCAATGTACTGAGGGCGACCTACAAAGCTCACCCGTTCAACACTCATGAGGAGATTCATCATGAACTTGGGAACTTATAGACGAAATAGAAAGGTTCAACAGCAGATATAGGAAGCGGCTCTCTGACCACCCAAAGAGTCTTCAACCAACTATCCTTCCCTCTTCGTAACAATAAACTAAATATAAGCTAAAAAACTTAAATTATGCTTTTAAACAAAAATATTTAACACGTCAAGGTATTATTATTTGCCATCATTTATTAGCATATTCGTCTAGTGCTATAAAGAAATCCTGCCTCCCTCTACATAATATTCTGGCCCATATAAATACTCGAGAACTCGTCTGTAAAAAAATAAATTTTGTAGACATATTTACACCAAAGAGTAGCTGTTTGGGAATAACTGAAAGAATAGATGGGCACTTCGATTAAATTAATGTGTAATGCTTCTGATTTATTCACTTTGCACTGCTGCCAATGTTAATGCTGATCCTGACCACGATTGCTTTCTTTTCTTGCAGATATCTTCGCTTGCTGCAATGAAGTATTCGGCTCATGTCGTGAATCATGCGAAAATGTAAGTTCTAAACTAATGTACAGACTTTTTATTCACTGCGGCCAGGTATACGCATTTCTCTTTCGCCTTCATTAATGGAAAAGCGACAGACCCAGGTAGCCCAGGTAGGTCGTGAAAGATACGCACGCTGGCAGGGACACCTGGGCGGCTAACAAATGTTTTGATCGTCTCTGATAAGACTTGAACTACTGTTGGCAACATTTCCTGGTATTTTTTATGATTGACTGTGAGTGGCATATTAAACAAAGCGCCAGACATGTGGCAACAGTCGATGCATTTGGAAAATTGTTGTTAATATTTTGTATTCATTGCTACTACATACTTACCCGTACATACATACAAGTATGTACAAGTATGTCGTGGGCCTTTAGGCGGATGGGATTTGTCAAGAACTCTAACTGCAGTTTCCGTTCTTTTGTTATTGTTGGTATTAAAACGAATGTGTTGCATCCGAAAACCGTTTCCAAACCTGCACTACAACTGCAAATGAAAATAAAAACGAAAAATACAAATTACTTAATTAACATAAATGGCAAACGGGTAGTGTGGCAACCAGGCTAACCAGTTCGTTTGGCTGGTCAGTCAAAGTCATTCATAAAGCTGAGCACACAGCTTGATTATAATCGATTTGCGTGTATATAGTATATGCATGTGTGTGTGTGTGTGTGTGTGTGTGTGTGTGAGTGTGTTGGAAACTGCAGTTATAGTCGCCAATAGCAGTAGCGACTAAGTCTGTTAGAGTCCAAGCAGCGACCCCCCGCCTTGTCTCTCCGCTTTTGCTCAGAGAGTCAGCTTATATACTCACTATAAAATCACCGACAACATTTAACTGTGTAATCATAACAATTTCCAAAACCAATTAGTTGCCGCAAGTACGAGTATCTGCAACAAGCCAGCAAGCGCAAGTATCTTACAGCTACAATATCTCGTTTGCAGAAAGTGGGTTGTGTTTTTAATTTAGAAATGCAAATGAAGGCATAAAATCTATGGCTAAATTGAAACTGACAAAGTGACAGCTACAAGCAGGATAATGCCTGAATATACATATACCATATACAAGTAGTATGTATGTATGTACGTGCATGTACGAGTATGTACGAGTATATCTGTCGGTCTGCCTATCCCAACCGGTTAGGTTCATGTTAATGCTCTTGGTAAGCCTTTCAGTCGTCCGTCTCGCATTTGAATGTCGCCGATGGCATAAAACACACTAAATTATGAGAATTGGCAGACAGATTTATTAAAGTGCGTGTCTATCTGCACATTTACGAGCAAGTGGGCGCAGACATGTGTGTGTAAATGGAATCGGAATCAGCAATTCGAGACACTTGTACTCTGACGCGATTTTCAATCAAAGGTTCTCCATACCCATACCCATCTGAAATTCGAGTTGGGCCCACTTTACACAGAGAAGACGTGTGAAAAGTCGAGGCTGCTGATCTCAGAACTCAGATAAGCTAAATTTGTGCCCATTTTATATTTGACAAAATGCTCTTTAGAATTAAATAAGTGCCCACGGAGTGCTGCACTGCAAGAAAATCCTTAATCCTTATTTACTAAACTAAGCAGAACTTAAATTGCATGAAAAGGATTTATCTAAGCATATCCTGAAAGATTACTTGCATTTATAATTCTCGTAATTGTGCCAGTAAATTGGCAGAAGCTGCATTCTACCTGAATTGCTTCAAAGTGGGAAAAAGTGGTTAAATTCAACTCATAGTTGGGTGACATTTACATTAAAAATGTCTATGGAAATAAATTGATTTCTAAACACTATAAGAAAAGTTTAAACAAAAATGAGATAATACTATCTATATCAAACGTTAAAAAAAGTAATGTGTAGTGGGGTACAATTACCTAATTAAATTAATGGACTATTATTTACATATAAGTCCAAAATCTGGCACATAGTTTCAGAAATTAATCAACGTTGAGAGATAAGTAAGATTTGTTTATTTTTAACTTAACAAAATGGGAAATTTCCATTATTTTGATATTCGATATTTAAAATTGTATTTGGAATTTATTTTCTATAGTTGCTGCTGAATTATTAGACAGGTATTTTAAAATGGATATATTTGATTTCTTTAAACTTTACCGCAATTTAACCCATTTGCGGGTGGAATGTCTTATGAGAACTTAATTGTTTATTCAAATAAAATTCAATTTAATATAAAAATTATTTCCAGTGTATGATTGGCATCTTGAAGGCAAAACGCAGGCGTTGCCCAGCAATAATTGCTCGGAGTGCGCATGCGCCTGTGCCTGTGCCAGCGCCAGAGCCAGAGCCATAGCCAATAATCTTGATTAAAGAAACGCGCGCAGGCAGGCAACATGAAATGCCACAGAATGTTGCAAAAGATGCAGATGTGTCGAGTGGGTAGATTGTGGTGTGCTCGTATGTGTCACATGAGATGCCAGAGAGCTCCGCTCCGTTCAGGCTGAGTGCAAAGGAACACAAGTGTGTACGCGTATGTGTGGGAGTGCGTGACAGACCCTGACACTTCGTTGCCAAAATGCAACAGGAAGTTCAGTTTGGCAGCTCGTCTGTAAATTAAAGCGAAGCTACCAGCAGCGAGACGAGTAGTATCTGCTGCCTGGGACTTGAAGTATTTAAGTGAACACTATGTGTTATTGATAGTGGATTATTTTTTATTTTCGGCTCTTTTTTTGATAAATATTTTTTATAAGCGCAGCTCAGATTACTGCGGCAGATACGGAGGCACACAAATCCATTGGTTTCGTTATTCAAATTCTCTTGTCTTATCGAAAAGTACCAGCAATGTAATTTATGATACAGCTCCAGTCCCAATCTTGTTGTTGTGCGTGTCCCAGCAGGTTGCTGGCCTCGGTCGAAGAGCAAGCTACAACAGCAACAACAACAACAACAACAACAGTAAACTACAAATGTAACATAATACAGAGAAGGCATAAACGTTGAATGAGAGATTGGAGGGCAGGCAGACAAACGAAGACATGCAGGCGAGGAGACAAACTGAGAGCCAAATGTGTAATAATCATATCGTTAAACATGCTCGGCAAATACTCCATAGTACATATGGGATTCCAAACGTCAGGAAACATGTGCAATATTTTGCAATCAATGGACAAAGAACACTAGCTGCCATGTGTTTGTTGACAAGTTCAAAGTGGATTCAATTGACTGTTTCTGTGAAAACTCCTTTTTGAAGATGAGAGAGAGAGAGGGGCTATAAACAAATCTACTCTTTAGGATAATGTTAAATATTATGGTACAATTTATTATTTATAAACAAAAAATAATGCTGTCAATACAGTTTACTAATTTGAAGTTACAATTTTAACTTACAAAAATTAAAAAGCCTCTATACGGTAATGTCTATTAATGAGTTTTAATTGCCATTTGGCCAGCTAAACCCCGATCCACCGCCAGTATCAATTATATCAATAATCATTGAAGAAATATATAGACATATACAAAACGAAAATAGGTATTTTATTAATTAAAACAATTTATATTAATTAATTTAATCTGCCACGTATTCCAAGAATCATAAAAAAATAAATAATTAAATTTTGAGTAATCCTATATAGTATAATATAATATCGTCATTTATAAAAACATTCACAAAAGTAAGACTAACTGGTATAAGTTGTATTTTGGAGAGGGAGATTTTATAAATTTTGAGGCGATTTCGGGCAATACTTTTTGTGTGCAGCCGATTAGGGAAATACTGAACAAATGCCCTACTTTTTGTTTTAAATTTTGGGCACTCCTTGTTCTGTCAATTATGAAAATGAACACATTACCATAACTTATCGCGCCCAGTGTGAAAGGTGCCGGCCACTGCTGGACCAGTGGTTCAGAGTGGTGGAGACTGCCCGCTGGGTGCCTCGGTTGTTGCGTCTGTCGGTAAATTTAGTGGCAAAATTTGCATGACAGCTACAGTGGACACTTGACCAGTGGCGAGCGGCTTTTGAAACTGCAGAACAATGCTTAGGTGGAGCGTTTATGTGCTGGTTGTGCATAATTTATGTTAAAGCGAAAAGTAGGCGAGTCTCTCAGCGTTAATGAAGTGCACAATTGAAACGGACCCACAACTGAATTCTCAACCTGTGTCGCATATTTTTAAGTGCGAATGTATACTATATTTCGCTTATAATGCAAATCAGTCTGACGCACAGAGAAGTGTGAGGGAGGGCCCCAGAGCTCGGAAGCAACAGACTATTCAACTTTTCAGTTAATTACGCATGGTGTTGTCATTTTTGAGGGCGCATTAATTTTATGCCTCAAAAGCGCATGTGGCATGCAGCAGAGATCGTTATCGTCAAGTTGATATGCTCAAGGATTACTGCTCGAAACGAGAGTGGTTTTTGTTTTTGGCACATGTAAATGATTTATTTTTGTAATCACATCGAGGCGGGCCGAGACGCAGACAGACCTGACTGGTTTTGGCGCCAATTCCATCGGGTGGACTCGATTCGAAAAGCTGTTGTTGCACCGTTCACTTATTAGCTTTAATCAAATCGCGTTTACATTTTGTGCACTTTGTGTGCCGCAATTCCACTAATGGTTATTTATTGTTCACTATCTGATATTTCATTTCAGCTGTCCCTGGTCCAGTTGGCCACCGACCCTCGTGCTGAACTGAAAAAATACTGCCAATTACATCAATTGGAGTTCTGGGGCTGTCTCAATCGCACACTCGAAGGTGAGATTATCCACGACACAATCAACTCTCTACTGTCAAAATTTAAATCACATATTTTCTCTAATTATTTGTCAATGATTTGGAAAAAATGAACATATATTTTCGTACATTTATAGGGCTTATCTACTATGACTAGTAAGAGTAATTTTCTGGCTAGTATCAATAACTTCGTCGAATGTTTTTGTCATTTTTTCTCTTGCATAAATTTGCAGATAAAGAAAATAATAAATAAATTAATGAAAATGTAGATAAATCAGAACTTATAGCAATATATATTATAACAATAATGCATATAAGCCGTATAGAATAGGGTCGAAGTAATTTCTATGTATTATTCGTATTTAAAATATTCACCCATTTTATTCTATTGAAAAGAAAAATAATTGACATAAGAGACACAAAAAAACATGATTGAAAATATATAGTAACTGAAGAATTGATGGACAATAGATAACTATTGTTTAGGAACCACGAACTTCAAAGCAGTGCTCTTAGCACTATGTTTATGTATCTTTTAAATAATTAATTGTTAATGTCTTTAAGTTTTTGTACAATCGCAAATATTTAGCGTTCAGCATTATTAGAGACATCCTTAAAATATTTCTTTGTGGTGTTTCCAAACTTATTTGACACCCAGTTTCCTTTCCAATCTACATTCCCATTCATGTAATTCTTTATAATCTAATTCAAAAGCAGACAAATATAGTATATACATATATATTTGTAATGAGTAGTATTTGGTATTAGCCAGAATCAAATAATGTTATAACTTGGAATTTAAAAATTAATAGTTTAAGCTCTTACTAGAATAAATTGAAACATATTAACCTTTATTTATAATTACATTATTGGCGTTTTAGTAAGGTTTCCATTCTTTTTTGCAAATGCAATATAGCCCATGTTAACCGTCGATAGTGTAGCTTCCCAACAGTGAAAGAATCCATTAAATTTGTCCAGTACATCCGGAGCCTTTTCAATTCAAGCAAACAAACAGACAAATATACAAACATACAAGTTTTTCCTCTTTATAATGTTAGTATAGATTGAAAATCAAATTAAACTATATTTGTCTTAGTTTTGAAATCTTGTTCAATTACATGCTTTATTCTTCACTTTTCGCTTATTTTCAGCTGTTGCTCGCGGCTCTGATTGGTCGGGTCGACGTTGTTGTCAGTTTGGCGTTTTACAACACTGTCGCAATGCCTGCGCAACGAGCTCTTCAAGCACAGAGTTAAGTAACGGCATTTGCAGGCGTAGTGATGAGCAGCAATTATATGATTGCCTGGAGCGCCAGGACGCGGCAGATCGTTGCTGCGGCCAGGCCCGCACATCCGAGTGCTTGCAGGTGGGTGGGAAGTGTGGGTGACAATCGAAAGTTATGGATGGGACCATGGATTTCAATTTCAATTCACTGTCGCGTTCTTCTCTGTTAAACAAAATTACTTATGTAAACCATTTACAGGCGTGTCGCGCCGTCTTCGAGACACCAAACGAGAACGAAAGCGAGAATGGATCTCGTCCACATCCCGATGATCGTCTCCAGCTGGACCGGGCTTGTGGGGAGCGAAATGCTGATGTGCTCCAATGTATTAACAATCATACGGACATGACGCCGCTAGCCAATGCGCATCAATGTAAGTCTCCCAACCCATACCTCATTTATTCTCTATGTTAGCCACTTGTCTGTCCTTCCAGACCTTCCTTGCTGCAAGTACAGCAACAACGAGCACTGTAGTCGCACCTGTCGGGCGCTCCTTCATCAGAATGTCAGCCAAGTGGAGCGCAGTGATGTGATCTTTGAGCGTCTTCAGGCTGCCGGATGTGGCACCCCATTGCCGCATTTGCCGTTCTGGCAGTGCTTCCTGACCGTCCCCAGGAAGTTGTATGTGCCGGCAGGCGGACAGACACAGCACCATCGAGCACCGAGCTATGCCGGCGCCAATGAGCAGACCAACCAGCTAGGCATAGATGCTGCCAAGCGCCAGTGCTGTGAGTTTGCGAGCAGCCACAAGTGCCGGCGCCTGTGCTCGCAGATCTTCAGCAATGATTGGTGGGAGACACGAGCCAGCTTTGATAGCGAGTGCCTGGAACAGCCCGCTGAGTTGGAGCTGCGCCGCTGCATCGAGAGTGTGGACGCGCCTTGTGAACTGGGCTGCGACGGCCTCAGCTTCTGCACCAACTTCAACAATCGTCCTACGGAGCTCTTCCGCAGCTGTACACCCGCGCATGATGCAGCGGCTCGTGAAGATCTGCTGCTGCTGCAACAGCGCGGCTATGTACGCGTCCTGGGCCAGGAACTGCACATTAAAAACACCACGCGCTGTGCGCCGGAGAAGTGGCAAGCTCTGGTCTGTGCCCTGCAGCTGCAACCCTGCACCCGCGTCGGACTCTACAATGGCATTTGTCGCGAGGACTGCAACGAGCTGTTGGACGAGTGCCTCGACTGGACGCGCCAAACGCAGCGACCGCAGGCCATATGCGCGAGACTACAGCCCACACTTAGCGAGGATGAGGTGCCACCGCCCTGCATCTCTCTGCGCGCCTACTTGGAGCGGGGTGACGCTGCTCCAGAGGCGGGCGGACACTACGGCCTCACAGCCCCCTGCGCAGCCATGCCCTGTAATGGCAGCGAGGTGTGCGTGCCGCAGCGGAATGGCAGTCAGGGGTACTCCTGCATACCCAGCTGCAGCTTGGGTCAGGCCTCCTCGCTGAGTGTGCCCTTCGGCGCCTATTTGCGCGTCGGCAAGACAAGCAGCTCGGCGGGCACTGGCTTGGCCAGTGGACAGCTGCTGATGGCGGAGCACATGGTGTGTCGGTGTGGACGACGTGGCCAGGTGGAACAGTGCCAGCCCCTGCCCAGTTACACGCACGCGCACTGCGTGTTGCCGGGCGGACGCAGTTTTCGGCACGGCGAGTCCTTCTACCTCGAGTGCAATCTTTGCAGCTGCTTTGCCGGCGAGATTACGTGCACCAAGCAGCAGTGCCGTCTGGTTGGCTACACAGACGCCAGCTACACAAGTCTGCCGTGCAACTGTCCGGCTCACTATGTGCCTGTGTGCGGTGTCAACGGAAATACCTATCCTTCGGCCTGCGTGGCCAAGTGTCTGGGTCTCCAGGAGACTAGCTACGTCTACGGAGCCTGCAATGCACGCAATGCCTGTCAAGCTGGCACCCACGACTGTCCAGTCGGCACTCAATGTCTGGAACAGCGCCAGATCTGTCTGTCCAGCATGCAAAGGCCCTGCAGCCAGCATGTCTGTGGTAAGTAACTTGGATAGGGAATAGGGAATTTCAGCGCAAAAAAGGGTCGAAACGAAAGCTATTGTTTTCGTAACTATTGTGTGAAATGGGCGGAAGAAAAAGACAAATCCCACAAAACATTTCTGTAGCTTCTTCAGGTCAACTTACTTAAAATTTGCATAATACTGTGAAAGACATATTTGAGATATAGCTGTAATATTGCTGATTATATCTGCGCCATCTCAGAGATTAGAAGAATTAACATTCTTCGTTAAAAATAAATCCCAAATAAAAAATATGTATCCGTAGAAAAGATACCCAGAGACCTATGACGATTATTATCTATATACTTTTATAAAACATTTTGTCCTGATTGACTGACTGATTGGTGATCAACGCACAGCCCAAACGGTAAAAGCTAGTCATTGAATATACTTGTAAGAAGAAGAAGAAAAAAAATTGGATGTATAATCATTTTCTGGTAAAAGGCTCATTGAATGTTAGACTTAGAATAGATCTAGAATACTAATTCAAATTTTTCTAATTTAAATTTAAAAGACATTAATTCTAATAATTTGAATAAAAACTTTGTAATTTTTTAAATGGGTTTTGAGGTAAATTCTATAAACTTTTGTTGTAGCAGAAAACTAAGCTACTATAATATTTCAGTATAGAATTAATTAAAATAATATTACATGATCTCTAAATTATCATATTTTGGCTATATATGTTTTATTTGAATTATACTTATATGGTAAAGACCTCACTTAGCTTTGTGATAAGTTTTAGCAGGCAGGTTTTGGCAAACCTAGATATGGTGTGCTATAGACATTTGTGGATTTCTTTTTTGGTTAGTGATCCTGAATCGAGAACATCTCTTTTGATGGATGGGTGGAGATACTTGACCCAGAATAAAGCCGTGCAAATGATGGTTCCCACCTATTTGAAGTCTAATGAAATTTGCTTAATAAGTTCGTAATCCGAATTATATTTTATTTTTTCTTTAGTGAATAGCTTGCTTTAATTCTTGATATTGATTTACATTCATTTTTGTTCCATTGACAGTCAACATAACTGCGTCGAGCTGTTCCAGCCATCACTCCCAGGAGCTGTGCGACACCCGTGGCCAGACCTATACCAATGCGTGCGCTCTCTTGCAGAGCAACGGCCAGTTGGCCTATTGGGGCGCATGTTTATCCGGTCGCTGTGCCGCGCAATCGTCCATCACTCCTGTCTGTGGCATCAATGGGGTTACCTATCGCAGCACTTGTGCTGCCTGGGCCGATTATGTGCTTGTGGACTATGTGGGACGTTGTCGGGAGGTTGGTTTGCTGGCCGCCGATATGGGTCGGCGTTGTCGGACGGTCAAGTGTCCGGCCCCTGTTTCGCAGCATTGTCGTCACATTGTGCCTCCCGGCGCCTGTTGCCCCATCTGTGCCGGTGGCGCTTTCCGCATCATCTACTCACGCAAGCAATTGGATCGTGCGATGTACGCGTTGCGTGGTTCTCGGAGCTCCTTGTTGACGTTGCACGGCGTGCTCCAGCAATTGGATCAGATGGTGCAGGTGAGCGAGTGTCAGCTTACTGGTTTCCTCACCATGGAGGTGGGCATCTTTGTTGCGCTGGTGACACGTTCGGCAAGACCCACACGATTGCAGCTGGAGGCATGTGCTCGAGAGGCGGAGAAGATATCGGCTCTGATCAGCGCACAATCGCCCCGAATCACAACAAATTTGGCACTTTCCAGCCTCACTGTATCCCACGTTTTGGAGCCCAGCCTTTATGGTCGTGGCCTAAATCTAAGCCCCACTTTAATGCTCCTATTACCTGTTGCTCTGATAATGCTAATAAGAAGTTTGAAGTAGTGTGTAAATTAGCGTAAAATTGTAATCATAGTCAACTTTTTTTGGTTCTTGTACAATTTTGAACAATCAAGTGAATTCTTGGTGCCAATTTTTTCAGTAGTTTAAGTTGCAAATCGCTTCCAAACACAAAATACTCCTCACGTGCCTTCACCAAATTAGGTGTGTGGGTGGAATTGAAAATGCATTGTGGATCCTTTTATTATTGCATATGTATGTGTATGTGTATATAGACCGGACCCTCTGTAAATTGTGATATTAGCTAAAATATCTTTAAGCACTCATTAAAGACATGTCTCTAGTTAGCACTTATTAATATAATATACTAATAATATTATCTATAACGAACAACCAAAGCAGCGTTCTCTCCTGACGCTTTATTTATTAGATATATCGCTAGTCTAATGCAATGTAATACTCATTCAAGATATTTTGTTATGATCCATTACATTTCGAAACTTAAATTTAATACTGTAACTTTGTTAATGAATTAACTATGTATTTGACTTAATAAAGTAGATATGATCGGTATTTTGTAAGCACTACGTGCTCAATAATATACTTGTCCATAGTCCAGTATCCTTAAGTATTCAGAATATTTTAGGATTAATCGAAAATGATTTTCGGGAATTGGGAAATCGATAATGAACAAATTTTAAAAAGCGGCTTCAATCTTAGGCTTTAAATTCTTATCAGAAATAAAATCAGCGAAGAAGTAAAATCCAAAAAGTTGTACGGAATTTCAAATAAAAAACATAAACAATAGCACGTTAGAACCAGGGCATATAATTGATTTTTAATTTGTGCAAAAATTCCATCGGACATTAACAAAAATCACATATAAATACTGCATTTTTAGGTCAATTAAATCCACAAATAATTTTAATAATAATATTGTCAATAGAATAAACTTCCATTTATGTTCTTGGTGAAGAATTTATTAAAATTACAGGCAATTCGTTAGAATGTTTATATCTGCAATGCAATTGAGTTTCATTTTTTTAAATTTGCGCGCGCATTACTAAACAGCAACACCGGCAGCACCATGACCGCCCACACAACAGTCTGGCAGCACCTCATCAGCTGTTCAATTCGCCATTGCAAGCCTCAATTCGCCGCTTTGCGCCGGCGGCTGAGATTTGTACTTGAACAGCAGAAGTGTTTTAGATTCCAAGTGGCTTGCATGTAAAAAGGTCGTGATTGAAAAGAACGTATAGAACGTATAGACGAATTTCAAAGAAAAATGCGAGCGATTGTTATTTTAACGCTGCTCGCTGGTCTGGCAGTAATTGGTAAGCAACACACATGCATACGAACATATCGCAGGTGAAATAAACAAAGAAGTTCTAACTAAACACAGAAATAACGAATAGTTGCAAAAATCAAGCTTTGCTTTAGATATGTAAGTCTCCCTGTGTGTGTGTGATAGATAGAGAGAGATAGAGAGCATCGTCGAAATTTAAATAAAGCAATAGACAATATAATGGCGGCAGTCGCCGGTTAGCGGCTCTTTTTTTTTGCTTTCCTTTTGGCTGTTCTTCGTTTTGTAACTGTTGTTGTTGTTGGTTTAAACCTCCGTTTCTTTTTTCCAATAGCTCAGGCCACGAATCCGCCACGTTGGGACCCCAACTACATTGTGAAGGGCACACTGTACATTCCCTATGCCGAAATCGCCGAGCCCTTCTATGCCTGGTACGACAAAAACACGAAACGCTCCCGCATCGATTACTATGGCGGCATGGTGAAGACGTATCAGCTTGCCAATGAGGGCTATGGCATTGCATTGAAACTGGCGCCAGTCTCAACGCGTGACGCGCTCAACAAGGAGACCTGTCTGCAGGTGAACGGCACCGCTGAGCAACAAGTAACCATCCAAAGCATTTTGCCGGATGCCAAACCCTTCAGCCTGGTGGGAACCGAGACTTTTCTGGGCTTTACCTGCGACAAGTTCCGGCTGGAGACGACCATTGGCCAGAAGAAAAATGTGTACACCTTGTGGGTTCGTTACAAGAAGTCGCCGCATTATCCGGCCTCACGTATGCCGATTCCAGTACGCTACGAGATGCGCGGCTATAACACGCTTCTCGGCTCACACTATGATCATTACTATCTGGACTATGATAGCTACGAGCACGACGATATACCGAACGAAGTCTTCGAAATCGACGAGAGCTTGACCTGCACAGGATTCCCAGGTCCGGGCACTGGCCACTTCGCCACCTTCAATCCCATGCAGGAGTTCATTGGCGGCACTGATGAGCATGTGGACGCAGCATTCCATCACTTTAAACGCAAGCATGGCGTAGACTATCGCACCGACAAGGAGCACGAACATCGCAAGAATATCTTCAGACAGAATCTGCGTTTTATTCACTCCAAGAATCGCGGCAAGCTTAGCTATAAGCTGGGAGTTAATCATTTGGCTGATAAAACGGAGGAGGAACTGAGGGCACGTCGCGGCTACAAATCATCGGGCATTTATAACACAGGAAAACCTTTCCCCTACAATGTGTCGCAGTACAAGGATCAAATCCCGCCCAACTATGATTGGCGTTTGTATGGAGCTGTAACGCCAGTCAAGGGTATGTCATCAGCTATTTAACACAACAGTCAATGTATAACCGATTCTTCCTTACAGATCAGTCGGTGTGCGGCTCCTGCTGGTCGTTTGGCACTATTGGTCACCTGGAGGGTGCATATTTCTTAAAGAACGGCGGCAATTTGGTGCGCCTTTCGCAACAGGCTCTTATTGACTGCTCCTGGGGCTATGGCAACAATGGCTGTGATGGTGGCGAAGATTTCCGTGTCTATCAGTGGATGATGCAAGTGGGTGGTGTGCCAACTGAGGAGGAATACGGTCCATATCTGGGTCAAGACGGCTATTGCCATGCCAATAATGTGACATTGGTGGCGCCAATCAAGGGCTTCGTCAACGTCACCTCAAACGATTCCACCGCCTTTAAGGTGGCGCTCCTTAAGCACGGTCCCATCTCTGTGGCAATTGATGCGTCACCAAAGACATTCAGCTTTTATTCCCATGGTGTTTACTATGAGCCGGAGTGCAAGAACGATGTAGATGGCTTAGATCATGCCGTCTTGGCTGTTGGCTATGGCAACATCAACGGTGACGATTACTGGCTGGTGAAGAACTCCTGGTCCACATATTGGGGCAATGATGGTTACATCTTAATGTCGGCCCGCGACAATAACTGTGGAGTTATGACCATGCCCACTTATGTTGAAATGTAAACCGTGTTTTGATACTTTATTATTCTTACTCTTTTTATACGATCGTGCCCCCGGGGCTTTAAATTTATACCAAGTACATACACTTTTTTCAAAACAAATGCTTGGCCTTTTCTTATCGCTATTCTGTAGAGGTTCGTGCGCTTGCCCCCAAATAGACGCAAACATCGTACTATTCATACTATATATAGTATGTATGTGTGTGTATGCTTGTACATTTACTAGTCGCGGACTGTCCGATGTGTAGATTAGCTGACCTGCACTTTGTTCGTGTTGTTGCACTTTTATCTTGCTTTGGTCGCGCTTCGAAAAATTCACGTTTCACTTCATCGGTTAAATAGCGATATCTGGTTCCATATATTTATATTTTTATTTTGAATGGAACTATTTTTAAAACTGTACATATGGGCTATCTATTCTGAAAGGCACATACGCTATAATATTCAACTTAAGAGCTGAGAAAGCCAGAAATATTCAATTAAAACAACAATTACTATCAGATGTTAATGCGTCCGATGCAGAGGAACAAATGTTGCCATTGTTTAAAGCGAACTGAATATTAATCATGGGGTGCTGGTAATTAAAAAACTTTTTCGAAGAAAATAAATTAATTTATCCAATCCAAGTATATTTAACAAGAAAGGAATGATGAAGTGGAGCAGGCTCAACTCTTAAATACCCTGTACCACCCCACAAAAAAAGAAATTCAATGAATTAATTTAATTAATTAACTAAATTAAATACAAAATATTCCATACATACATTTACATCAGAATCGTGTCTATGAGTGTTTGTGTACTTGTACATATGTATGTATGTGTGCATTGGGCCTGGTTATATGGCTATAACTTTCTTTCTGATCAACCTATCATAATAGTATATCAACTTGGTATACGGATATATAATCACTAACTTAATGTGACTACCAAATTTTGGTTCAAAAATCCAAGAATTACGGGAGTTATAGAAAATCGGGAATACGGGGGGAGTGGGGGGGTGCATCGGGAAAAATGAACAAACTCGTCCTTTCTCGGGCTCAGGAGAATCTAGATACCAAGTTTGGTTATTCTAGCTCTTATACTTTCTGAGATCCTTGCGTTCATACAGACAGACAGGCGGACATGGCTATATCGACTCGGCTTGTTATCCTCACCAAGAGTATATATACTTTGTGGGGTCTGCGACGCCTCCTTCTGTGTGTTCCATGTACACTCGCACAAAACTAATATACCCTTTTACCCTTTGGGTACACGGTATAAAAATGTTCATGTAAGTCTCAAGCTGTGTTTCTGATAGGCATTATTCATTTTTACAAATTTGTTTGAAATAAGAAATGTGGTTACACAAATTTGTTTTAATGCGAAATTACAAATGTAAGAGTCGGAATTCTGCAATGACATCATCAGATGTTTATTTATAAGTCGTATTACTTATAACAATTACAATGTTTAAGAGGAAGACTAGGCAATATTACTAAGCATAAAAATATGAAATGTTTGGGTTAAGGCTCAATCATCACAGCAGGCGACTGATGCAGGACATGCCAGGATTCGGAAACTATCCAAAAGCAGAAACACCTCCTATGTCACTGTTCAAGATTTCTAATATCTAGAGTAGAGTACCTCTACATAGGCTTGCATCAAAACGGTTCCCCAACACTAAGGACCACATTGTGTCTATATGGCACTACCAACGGCGATCCAGAGAAAAACTTGTAGACTAACCTATCGGTATTTATGTTATCTGCAGCTGATACTACAATTCTTATGGAATGAGTTTGGGAGCAAACTTTATTCATTTCAACATTATAAGGCATCCCCAGCCCATTGGAATATAGGAGTATATTCTGAAACAGATAACAAGACGTCTACAGCAATGGTACTAAAAAGTTTCATAATATAATGGACTAATGGGGCTAACCATTATTATCTTTAATGCCTACTTTTCAGCCCCGTTTAATGTAGTAGCGGTATTGGCTTTGAGTATATGTTCCTTTTATAGATTGCATAAATAATTTAGCTTGGCCTTGAGCTCTTGCCTGCGTTCACACATAATAATGAAGAGAACGACGCTGTGCACTTGAACTATTTTCTTAAGAAGTCGGCGAGGTATTGGGCACAAACGAGTATGTTGTCGGCGGACAATTTGCTGAACGACATGTGTATATTTGTTGACACGAGGCAGGCGGTAATAAATCAAATGGGACAAAGCTGGCTCAGCCACAGAGTGGCGTAATCAATGTCTCCAATCTGCACACAAAGCTTCAGCTCTGGGCCAGGAGTCGGTGGTGATAGTTGGTGTGTGGTCTGTCATGTTTGCAGTTGTCATTATTGTTAATTGTATTTGTGTAGGGTCAGGCATACATGCGCTGTATTTACTCATTGGTGGGGTTGTGGCTGGGGGTAGACGGTAAGGTACGGATGGTGGAGCCCTTATAGAGTGTCAAGGACTGTACAACTCTAGGTTTAGTTGCGGTTGAGGCGCTGTGGCAAACGGTTCGAATTAGCGTTACCCCCTCCCGACCAGGTGCTCAGGAACCAACTACTGGCTACTGCAGCTAAACATTATGCGGAAGCGAAAAAAAAAATTTTAAAAAATAGAGCAATAGTTTTTAGATCAACAACTGGAATACCCTGAGCTAAGTTAGAAGTAAAATCACAACAAATGGCTACTGGCATTGATCTGCTTGTGGCTGCAGCGCTATGCGTTGCCTGTCCACCCCTAAATACAACCCTACCGCTGGGCCTAATCGTGTTGGACGACGAGGGTATGGAAGTTACGCCGACACCTATCGATACGGATCCGTCTAATTTGGGCTTGGATGAGGATACTCCGGCGGAAACGCTGGAGACTGTGATCAGTAAGAAGGTAAAGCTGCGTGCCCTGCGTGAGTGGATAAATGGCCGCCACCTGCGCATTGCCACGCTCGAGGACTATCCGCTGAGCTATACGGAGCTGCTGGAGAATGGCACGCGCTTGGGCCGTGGCGTCTCTTTTGAACTCCTCGACTTTCTGCAGGAGAAATTCAACTTCACCTACGAGGTGATCGTGCCGCAAGATAATATTATAGGCTCTACCACTGATTTCGATCGCAGTCTGATCGAGATGGTAAACAATAGCGTGAGTACCAAAAGTAAAGTATCTTGAGAATCTTAATTCAATGTCTCGCATTTGTAGAATGTCGATTTGGCGGCGGCATTTATTCCTTCACTCACGGAGCAGCGCAGGTTTGTTTCTTACTCGACAACCACTCTGGATGAGGGGGAATGGATTATGGTCATGCAGCGTCCGCGCGAGTCAGCTAGCGGTTCAGGACTGTTGGCTCCCTTTGATTTTTGGGTTTGGATATTGATTCTGGTCTCGCTTCTGGCAGTGGGTCCGATCATATATCTGCTGATCATAACGCGCAATCGATTGACCGGCGATCGCGAGCAGCGTCCCTACTCTCTGGGGCATTGTGCGTGGTTCGTGTACGGAGCCCTCATGAAGCAGGGCAGCACTCTGTCGCCAATTGCAGGTGGGTTGCATGGCAAACAACCAATTAACCCTAATGCACTGATAAGAATCGGCAATTAGCGGTCGGTCAACGTTCACATGCAATCGCATTTCATTTGTCGTTTTTTAATTTTAAAACCATTGCAGACTCGACCCGCCTGCTCTTTGCCACTTGGTGGATATTCATCACCATTCTCACATCCTTCTACACGGCCAACCTCACCGCCTTTCTCACGCTCTCCAAGTTCACCCTGCCCTACAATACGGTGAACGATATTCTGGTAAAGAACAAGCATTTCGTGTCCATTCGGGGCAGTGGTGTGGAATACGCCATTCGTACGGTATGTGTGAAGAGTCTACAAAAGAGTCTCCAATGCCTACTTCAGGTCAACATAACCCTCTGTTTCAGACCAACGAGACGCTGTCCATGCTTAATCGCATGATTCAGCACAACTATGCCGTATTTTCGGATGCCACCAACGACACTTACAACTTACAGAATTACGTGGAGCGCAACGGTTACGTGTTTGTGCGCGACCGTCCGGCCATTAGTCACATGCTCTATCATGACTATCTGTATCGGAAAACTGTCAGCAAGTCAGATGAGAAGGTGCATTGTCCCTTTGCAATGGCGAGGGAGCCATTTCTTAAAAAGAAGCGAACTTTTGCCTATCCCATTGGTTCCAATCTGAGCGAGCTATTCGATCCGGAGTAAGTATAGAGAATGAGATTTTATACCTTCTAGAAACATTACCCCATGGTTTCAGTTATTTCTGAAACGGCTTTGAAATTAGTTAGAGTGGATCTACTTGCAAGCTCATTCGAAAACTGCCTTACACCAATTTCAAAATTATTTTTCAACTTCCCTACACAGACTACTCAACCTCGTCGAATCGGGTATTATCAAGCACTTGTCGGCTAAGAACTTACCAAGTGCTGAGATCTGTCCGCAAGATTTGGGCGGCACCGAGCGTCAACTTCGCAATGGAGATCTCATGATGACTTACTACATAATGCTGGCGGGCTTTGCTACTTCTATGGCCGTATTTAGCACCGAGCTGATGTTCCGCTACGTAAACAGCCGGAGGGAGAGCAATCAGTGGGCACGTCATGGAGTTGGCCGCACTCCTAATGGCCAGTCAGTTCAACCGTCCCGCTGGTTACGTGGCCTGCGCCGTCTGAATGGGGAGAAGCGGGTGCTGAACACATCAACGCATGATGAGAACATAACACCACCACCTCCCTATCAGAGCATATTCAATGGTAATGGCGGTTCCGACTTACATGGACTGCATCGTTGGCGACGTCCCGGCCCCAATTTGGGCAACGGAGTGCTCCTGGGAGGTGGCGAAGGCAACGAGCGCAGTGGCGTCCGCCGTCTTATAAATGGTCGGGACTATATGGTATTTCGTAATCCGAATGGACAGAGTCAGCTGGTGCCGATGCGAACGCCCTCGGCAGCCCTATTTCAGTACACCTACACGGAATAGGGGACGAGTTATCTCTCAAGTATGTTCCCGTTTTTGAAATCACACTTATCAACACGAATTTTGTGGACGTAGATAAAGTCCTGGTGCAGTTTTACAAGTCCTTTAGAAATCAACATACTATACACAACAATATTTATTACATATTTATATCTGCAATAAAATTCTAGCTTTGTTTCTAGATGTGTACACAACACCAAATTTTTAAGTGGGTCTACTTTTGAACATACATATAGGGGTGCTCTGGTATTGAACAAACATACTCGTATAGCACTAGCTGAGAAGGCAAGATATTAACTGAATATAAGAGTTATTAAGAATGGTTTACGGACGCATGATACTCGTACTATTCTATCTGTACAAGAGTGGGCATATAAAGGCATAGGTTTTTAAAATGGCACGAACTATATCCAATATTCTCATGCGAATGCGTCAAATGTTTCCTCAAACTATCAAGCTGAACGTTTCAGTGAAGAATCATTCGTTCTAGGGATATAAACAAGTACCAGTCTTTATGCATTTTTAAGAGAAGCTTAAATAGAACTTTGAAAATAAATTTGTAGAATATATAGAATATATTTCGTTGCTACCCTTAGTATCTAGGTGATGATTCAGAAAAAGTTTAAAGTTTTTTGTTGTTTCTACATCAGTACATCTACAAGTTTATTTCAAATTCGATTCAAAGAAAGTGCACAGCTCTAGTCAAAAGTGCCTCGCGCATTGAATGTGTAGGCTGTGGAATGTGCATCAAGGCTGCTGTTGGAAGAGCACGAGCTTATCGAGGGTGCATGTGTTGAGCCCATGGAGGCATACGATGAGCTGGAACTGGAAGAACTAACCCAAGCGAGGCCGCTGCGACGACGACGCTGTCTGACCAGTCCCAAGACAGACCCAGCAACTGGTGTTGTGGTTGTGGAGGCTTGACGGTGCACGCCGGCACTCAGAGAGACGAGCACGGCTGCCGATGACGGTCGCAAATTCTCAGTGGCTCCGCTGTCGCTATGGTGTGATGCCGTCGCCGGGCGATAACGTCCTATGGACTCCATGTCCGAGGACAGATCACTGGATAGCGAAGATTCTTCCTCAGTTTCGTTCGTAGCTGCGGGTGGCGACTCATTGGACACCACATTGGTCGGGCTATTCATATCCAAAGGCTGGCCGTCGAGCTGCGTCAGAGTTGGAACACTTCGTCGAAGGGTAGCACGATACAAGGGCAGACGACAGACAGGGTTGCCTCGTAATTCCACGTCCATCAGCTGCGGGCACATGCCCAGGAAGGAGAGCAGGCCCAGCTCACTGATGCGATTATTCCGCGCACTTAGGCGTTGCAGTTGGGACAACTCTGACAAAGGTCCCACGCGTTGGATCATATTACCATCAGCAATGAGAGTGCGTATGGCCGGCAGACCACTAGTGCCATCAAAGCTATTCAGCCCACAGTTGCTGACATTCAGCTGTGTCAGATGAAGCAGTCCGTAGCCGAGATCTCGCAGAGAGCTTAAAACGCTGCCGCTCAAGTCAAGCTGCTGGAGGCGGGGTAAGAATAGGGAAAGACGCGATAGGCTGAGGGTGTAGGAAATGACGCGTAGGCGCACAGTTTCCACATTTTCCAAATCATTGCGTTGCGTTACGCGACGCTGTGGAAAGGTAATGCAAATAAATAATTACAGCTCTGCCGTTACGAGTACTCCTTCGGGATAAGTAATTGGTCTGTGTTTATAAATGTCTGTATTAGGGAAATGCTATAAAATGCTAGTCCTTTCTTGATACATGTTTAAAACTTTGTGGAAAATATGAGACTGCTTTTACTGTAATTAGTAAATTGTATTTCTCCAAAAAAATAATCCTTTTTTTCCAAAGTAGACAGAAAAATGGTTGGTAGAACATGAGTTCTTTCAAGCTAAAGAAATTCGATAATTAACATTTCTAAAATCTGGATGTTGAAGCAGTGCTTTTCACCGATCTGGTTTTAATATTAATCCAGGTTCTACCGGATAAGGGCACTTTTACACAAAAAACCTATTTAGTTTTTTCTTCAACGACACATTAGATCTAACAGACAACAGCACTAAGCCGTGGCTTGGGGATAAATTATAAGGTGAACTGACAGTTTAACCTAAGAGTGCCTTTAAGAGAGCTCTTTCGATTACTTTAAAGTAAGTTAAGTTTTTCAAATGCTAAAAGAGTGCTAAGGTTATTTTTGCTCACATATAGGAACTCTTAAGGGGCCTAATCACACCATAATCGTATTTTACAAATACTAGTATAACCGGTTTAAAATACTTAATGGAGCCTAAAAACTTGGTCCTCAGACTTAAAACAAATTGCAGCAATCGGGTCGGGTAGGAGATATCGAGCGTGCACAGTTACTCACCAGGAGCTCATCGAGTGTTGGCTCTGGGCCCTGGACGGGTAGGACAACAGGTAACAAGTGCACAAAGGCTGGCAAGTGTTGGGATTCCTCATTTAAAGCCAAATCCCGATCGAACGAGTTATTGCGCAGTAGTGCTCGTCGATTATTACGAGTAGTCGGTTGTGGCTGGGGCTGTGGCTGCTGTTGCCGGCCAAGGTTAAGGCGGCCTTCGGGCGGACGTGCTTGCACCTGCGCCAAAGCAGCTGGTCCTGGCGGGGCCAGTACTAGAGGTATTGGTTGCCATTCCGGTTGCAGTGATTGGTCTGGAGAGGACTCCAAATATTCCGCCGGTGCCTGTAGCACGGGCATATTTTTTGAGTTCTACCTGGTGCCGACAATGATGATGTTATTATTGAAAGGCTGTCGTCCATTGATACAACAAAGTTGTGTTGCCATGGGCAACGATCGGTGACAAAGCTTTGGCAGGGTTGTCAATGTTCCATTAAAGCTTTAGCTGCATTTAACAGTACACCAATAGTTGCATATTTCATCGATACGGTTGAGCGAATTTCTGGAAATTTTCATGCCTCTACCTCTCACATGGCCGCAGCAACAATGTATGTATGTAGGTTGAGTCCTGTGGCATTCAACGCTTTTGGCATTCCTTGCTACCTACAGCACTGCTTTTGCCCTTTGGCCGCATTGCTTGATTTGGCAGTTTGCCCGCCTGCTGACGTCAGTCTGACGTCACAGTCGTGACGTGCTCTCTGGTTGCAGAGTCGATTTCGCAGCAGGGCTCGCTCGGATGTCACGCGGATTGGCTGCCACGTTGTTGTGCGGGGTAGCTAGCCGTCCAAATTGGAGGACGCCTCTGCCCGACTCAACATTTTACGATAATACAATTTTCTCTGTCATTTCAGTAATGGCTCAATGGCGGCGACTGTGAGCTCAGAGCTCGTCGTCGTGGAGCTTTGATGGTGCCTTTGCCGGCATTTGTGCGGCATTTGCAAGCGACGTGTTGTTCCACGTCGACGGCGTTGTTGTTTTGATTATTTAAGGCGAGCTTTTTCGATTGACGTCATCAACTGTGTGTACAGAACAAAAGTTGCGCAGTAGTGGCAACCGAAACGCGACGTTACCACGCATTTATTGATTCCATAATCAACTGAGCGGGTGCAGCAGCAACAGAGAGCTTTTAGGGTGAGAGACCAGAGAGAGCGTAGGTGGCGCAACTAGACTGTTGCAAAAAAGAGAAAAAAAAAACAACATGCCAGCTGCTTGGTATTTGTGGCTCTTCTGCAATTTGGGGAGTAGGAGTGGGGTTACACAGCAAAAAAAAATTGCCAAATTCTGTTTGCATTTCTTCGCAGTGCTTGGCTTGTAAATAAACTGAGAGCCAACTCATGGTGATGAGTTGTTGTGTGGCTTGAAAATAAAGAACTTTGTTAGGCACTCGATAATTTCTTTCAGTGCAGGGGCGATTGCATGTTTGGGGCGCAGGAGTTATCCAAAAATTCCCTTTTGCTTTTATTATAGGCATCTAAAAATAGAATTTGTCAATAATGTTGCCTCCCTGCTGCTGCTAACTGCGGCTTAACACCACACTCCTGCCGTTGTGGCAGCTGACTGTGTGTGTGTGTGTGTGTGTGTGTGTGTGGGTGGCACGGCGGCTGCTGTTGGGCAAAACATGCTCAGACATGCCACACACTGCTGACGTCATTGTAAAGCTCAATCGACGTTACTGTTGCAGGAAGCAGTGTGCCAGCAGCAACAACCACCAGCACCACCAGCACCACCTCCGCCAGCAGACGCGCTCAATAAGGCAAGCGAGGCATTTTCTTTTATGCCTTGGCCAGGCCAAGTCAGTCGCTTAGCAGCCGCGAACGCGTGCAAAACACCAACACGGCAAACGAGGAAAGCAGCAGCAGCAGCAGCAGCAGCAGCAAGTCGCTTACACAGCACGGTCGCCAATAATAAAAATAAAAGAATCGACAACATAAGTGTGATTTCATTGCATATGTGTGTACATTTTGTTGTTGTTGTTCTGGTTCGTGCTGCTTCCTTTGTAATTGAGCCAACGGCATTGAATTATTTAACAAGTGCAGTCCGTGAAGACCGTGCAACCCAAATCAAGAGTTTCTGTGTGTGCACATGTGTGAGTGTGTGGGGGAGTTGAAATAAATAGAGAAATGCGTGTGAAAAAATGCAGCCAAAAATGTTGGCATTAAAAAAGGTCGAGCAGCTGAGCGTGTATCTGTGTGTGTGTGCGCGTGTGAGCGTGTGTGAGTGACCAAGCTTGTGCTGCACTCGTTGCTCGATTATTTGGGTCAACGTCAACGCTGAAAAGCTGCAGCTAAGCAACAGCAACAGAAACAGCAAAAGAAACAACAACAAGAACAAGAGCAAATGTTGCAAGTTTTGCTTTGAAGCTCGACATTTCGATAAAGCAGCCAGCGCCTAATCCACCTGTTAAAAGTCGCCCAGCTGGATGCAACGACTATGTAGCTCTGATTGAGGGCACAACACCACCCACAGACTCAAAAACACTGACAACACCACTACAGCAACAACAATAACAACAACAACAACAACAAGTGCGCCAGGGCCACGTCGTCCACATATGCACATAACATTGGCTACCCTTGGCTAATTGAATTAAGTAAGCAGCGTGGCCAGCTAGCGTGGCTGTAAAGCAATTAAGGGACATAGCCACAGCCACAGCCACAGCCATGGAGACCAGCCAGCAACCGAAGGTGCATCGTCAGCATCAGCGCCAGCGTCGCACGGAGGCGCGTCAACGTCGCTTGGAGCGGGAAGCGGCCGCTGCCACCACACCACCCGCCTGCAATGCAGCCACTGCCAGCGATCAGGCGCAACTGCATGCCGCCGAGGAGGGTTGTGCGGCCAATGCGGCCGCTCTTAACGAACATGGCAGTAGCCATGGAAGTGGCTCAAACTCGGTTGTGGCTTCAGCGGGGGTCGGTCGCATCAGTGCACGCTACTCACAAGAGAATGAGCGTCAGAGCTCGGCGGATAGCATAGAAATGGTGGGCTCACCCAGTCAAACATCACAGCAGACAGTGGTGCTGGTCAATGGGCATGCACCGCCCTCGCAGGACACGCTGGAGGAGAGCGCTTCCCTGGGCGCTGACGATGAGCCACCGCCCGATGCCACGCAACTGGAGGTTGCGGGGGCGGCTGCGGTGCAGTCACCCACACAGCCGGCAAAGCTGAGCGATGGCAGTCGTAACTCTTCGGGGGATGCGATGAGCTTGCGTGAAACGTTGCAGCAGCTGCCGGCCACACTGACGGGTCATGGTCATCGCTCACGACGCACACACTCACCACAGTCGCCGGCGCTGCGTTCACTGGAGGCGGATTCGTCCTTTCATCGCGGTATACTGGGCTATATGGATCGCGAGTTGAAGCAGAGTTCGCCCACGCCGTCGGCATTGAGTGTGGGCGCGGCTAGTAGCGGAGGCGGTGGTGGTAACGGCACGGGTGCCTCACGAAAACAGCAATCGCTGTCAGATCCGCAGGCTAGTCCAGCTCAGCGTTCGCTACGTTCTCGCAATAGCTTTGACAAGAGTCCGCGAAGGAAGCGCAGCAAATCGGAGTCGCGACGACGTCGGGAACGCAAATTAATAGCTGCCGGCGAGATGGAAGTGCGTCAGGCCAATGAGACGCTGATGCGTTACCTGAAACAATGCTCCGAGATGAATGACGCCTCGTTGTCCGGCGAACTGGAAATCGATCAGAGCTATGATGAGCGACGTGTGCATCGAAAGACGAAATCGCAGCGGGACAAGCGGGGCCAACTTATCAGTGAGTAACTGTAGCTACCATGCCACCCCACCCACTTAGCCCATGCTTTCATGTCTCTGAAAATACCAACGTATTTTCGTGAGTTCCTCTTGCAACCTACACCACACATTCCATCAACCTCCCTCCTCCAGCACTGCTGCTGTTTTTGTTCATTGAGGAAAAAGCTTTACCTACTTACCCACGCCCGCCTCCGCCTCCTCACTCCTCACTTCTCCCTGGTTCTCATCCCACACAGGACGCGTCTGCGCACTTTCAATAAAGTTGCTAGCTTGCTCTTGCATCGTTACTAACTTGCTGCTTCCCACTCTTTCCCTCCGTTATATCTCTTTTTGGGCCTGCAGGTAAACTGTACTCAGCTGGTGGCCTATCCTCCATATTGAAGGAGCTGGCCGACGACATTGCGCCTGCTGAGGGCGAGGAGATCTACAACCCATTCACACCGGTCGTCTCGCCCACGGACGATGCGCCCGCGCACATCGACAAAATGTTTCTGCAGACGTCATCAGGGTATCGACCAGTGGAGCACAGCTACTACAAACGCTCCTTCGTGGGCGCCGGAGCGCAGCGAGGACATGGAGGCGGCATTGTTGGCAATGGAATGACCGCAGCGGAGCTGGGTGGCGCTGGTCGCCTCTTTCGTTCCGGCGGGGGCGGCAGCTACGGCGATACGCGCTGTCTGCTCGACGCGGACTTCAATCGGTGAGTGAAATGGGTCTTGGGGTGTAAGACGCGCGAGGGTTTGTTCCTATTGAGTGACGTGAATTTATATGAGAGTAATCCTGCTATTGCGTGTCGCGGAGACGTTCGGTGTGGACGCCGGTGGGCGGCCTTATCGACAGTTGGTTATTTTTAGAAACGCGAATGAACCAAGTCTGGAGGATGTGGAGCTGTCTAGGCTGCGTGTTCAAAATAGGATCATAAACAACGCAGAGAACGGGAATGAGGGTGCAGTTCATGAATATTTTGGCACAATTATTATTATTTTCGACCCTACCTCAAGGCATTTGTCAAATGACAGACTGTTGTGTTGAGGGTATTAATGTGAAGGTGGTGACAAAATTGTCAACTCTGCCCCCCAAAAAAACTAGCTTGATGGATTGTTATAAGAAAAACATGACGCCTTTATCTGACACTAAGAAATTCAATTCAAATATAGGAGAAGAAAATATTTTTGGGGCTAATAATGAATGATTGCAAATATCTATAGAGTTGAGCAATTAGTTGACGCCTTTATTTGACACTAAGAAATTCAATTCAAATATAGGAGAAGAAAATATTTTTGGGACTAATAATGAATGATTGCAAATATCTATAGAGTTGAGCAATTAGTTAAATTTGTTTTTAGGGTTATAGCCCGTTAGAAACATTATACAAAATTAATAATGCTTTTCATGATAATCAGAAAAATTAAATAAATTAATAATGGTTTAGACTTTCGGAAAAGGTAAACAGGACATACAATGTAACGGATCTCTACGTTTATAGTTTCATAAAATAAAATCGCTAGAATAGATCTGTCTGCCACCCCATTTCGGGGACCAAATGTATAGCATGTAAAGTTCAAATTCCTAAATTAAAGAAAACATTTAAACATTTCTAATTGATTCATAAGCTGGTCGAATTTAAAAATCTTTAATGATCCGTCCACCACACACGCATAAATTTAGTGACTTTTGTTTCAAAGTCTAAAATAACGTGGAGTCTAATATCCAAGGACTTGCTAGAAAAAGGTTCTAATTTTATTTGAATTCTCGATTGTTGTTGCAGCAACGAGATCTCCAGCAACATACAACTGTCTTGCGTAATTCAACGAATTTGGCTGCTCATCTCAAATATATGCCACGGCCTGCTAGCTGGTCTAGCATTGGCCCATTTACTCTTTGTGCTGAGCAGCCATCCCATGGACTGGGGAAAAGTAATTAAGGATATGAGTCTTGCTGGCGAGACCATAGCAACAGTGGCAGCAGCATCAGCACCAACAACAGCAACCATCACAGCATCAACGGCTAATCTGGGTCTGAAGTTAGGCGATGGCAACGCGGCCGTGGAAACGTCAAGTGCGGCACCAGCAGCGCCCTTTCCAGGAACAACGGGTGGCGAAACGCTGGCGCTGATTAGTGACTATGCGGCTTTTGCGGAAATCTATCTGAACACCTTTTACTGCTTGGCCATCATTTGTCTGGTGTCGGTATTCGATCGGTAAGTGGATGTGTATACTCGTTAGTAGTAATATACATTTGGTTAGTTAGAATGCCGTGTAGTCGAAGGACTCGACCATTACCTTGTTGGCGAATGTGTCCTTAATGAAAGCGAATTACAAGTCAATTTAGTTGGCTGGCAACCTTCGATGTTAGCGCCACTAAACATGAAAGTGAAAGTCAAGCGAAAGCGAGGCATATGACAGGCAGGAGGTCGGAACACATTGACCTCAAGCGACTAGGGCTAGCCTGACCCTCAAACCCGATGCTGAAACCCTTGAAGCCCGAACGCAAACCAAGTGGCACGCCCACTTTGCGCGAAAACAAGTGCTTAGTTAAACACAAAGACGGCCTGTGAAATGCGGCCTAGACAATGGCAACACGCTGAGGGTGAGGCTGGGTTTGAATGATAATTAGGCCCATACTTGGGCCTGCTTTTGTTCGTATTTACGCATCGTGGCAAAGCATACGAGTACTTGTCTATTTTTAATTAGAAATGCGAATTTTTCAAATGCGCCAAGTGGGCCGCCGACCCGCCCACACTCAAGCACTCGCCTTCCACCTTTTTGCAGCGAAATTTGTTTGCTGTCCTGGCTGTTTGTGTCCTGGCGTGGTTGGTTTTTCGTCATCAGCCAAATATCTTAATGCCTTTAAACTTTGCTCTTTTTGCATTGCGACGCAGCAGCGCAACCCACACGAGCATACCCTCTGCCCTATTGGCCGGCCCACACTATTGCCGCCCGCTTGCACTCTTGACCTTTAAAAGTTGCGGCATCGTAGTGTGCGTGCTTTTGTGTGTGTGTGTGTGTGTGTGTGTAGGCGTCTGGAAGCGCTCGCGGCGCACTGACAGACCATCCGAGCTGATGTTCTGTTCGCTTGGCTTCAGTTCTCTGTTTTGGCTTGGCATTTCCCAGCTGTATCTTCAGCTAGGCAACCATCCATCCACCCATCCACCCACCCACACTTTTCCCTGCAAGTGTGAAACTGTTTGTTTGTGACATTTTCACGACTTTATCCTGTGCGCTGATTTATAAACCGCTTGCTGCCTTCTTCCAATGTTTTGAATGGCATGGATGTTGCAAGAATGAAACTCCTTTGACCTTTCGTCGCTGCTGAACAAATAGTCATGTACAAGTAGATATGTACGAGTACTATATGTGTGTATGTTTGTTCGACTACCATTTCAAATTTATTTAGATAAATGTCAACTGGGAAAGCCATTTAATGTGGTTGTTTTCTTTCATCTCTTTCTCTTTCTGCAGGATGGACATTTGCCGTTGGAGTTTTTCAAATGCCAGCGAATTGATTTCCTTTCGCTGGCTCATCATCACCATGATCTATATAGCGACAATAATCTTAACAATCTGCTCCGATTCCATTGATGAAAAGCTGTACCTATTTAATAATAACAACGCAAATCTGACTCTAACGCAACAGGAGCTGGTAAGGATCTGGACCGTGTTTTCTTGAGCTTCCTAATTAAAATAGATGTCGTGTCAAATATTAAATGACAAAGCTCGGAATATAGTTAATATCAAAATAAAGTCTGATGCATTCAATGCAGATGTTATGCTTCGTAATTGAAATTAAAATACAAAGAAGAATTCAATCGTACTGTGAAGACTCAGGCTCGGAAAACAATAAAATATATAGAAAATTAATTTCTGATGTATGCAAAGGTTTCTCGAGCCTTTAGCAGGTTATTCAAAACTCTAAGGCTAGTTGTTTTAGGGTTGATTGTGCACTTAGATTTTGATTTCATCAAAAGTTTAAAAAAATATTACATATATTTTTCGACAAGTTAATAAGCGTTTATTTGGATGCGAAGTTAAGGATAAGGAACCCCTTTGTATTATGAGTCACTAAACTATTTTATTATTGATTTGAGAGTTGATCCGGATCCTTCAAAGATGTTAGGCTAAGAAAGTAAATTTAATAAACTGTATCTTTTAAATATTTGTATTATTTTAAAAATTGTATTTTTTTTGAATAACGTTAAGAGAGGTTTACCATAGAGCGAACGAAGTTAAGAAGTAGAGGGTTGGACAGGCGGGAATTTATTTCAGGGGTTCATTGAAGTAAATGTAAAATCCGTTCCAAGGCAAGAAAAGACTTCAAAACTTTAAATAATTCATACAGTTGTATGAATTGGAATAATTAATAAATAGTGTGCTACCCATTAAGTATTGCCCCTATGCCTATTTAACTGAAAATAAATCCAAATTCTGAGTTCGTATATTCTAATCAAATTCTTTTTGAATTGACGAGAATTCTTCGTAGATGTTTCAAAATTGTAGAAGGAAGCACAAAAATGTAATAAATAATATCCCAGACAGCATAATTCTCATTAATTATCTTATTCTTTACAGCTGAGCAACAGCGTTCAGAGCGTTTGGAGCAGCCTATCGGTTACGCGAAGCATTGCCGCTATCTCTGGATGGATAATGATCGGAATGACGCCTAATGAGGATATGCTGTACGAGCATCTGGTCGATCTCAGCAAATATCAATTGACAAATAATTGAGTTTAAGCTTAGCAGACTAATTGTAAATACGAGTATGTATGTCAGCCACTGTATTTCTAGGTACTTATACTATATGTATATCTGTAGAGCTCTTAGCGCTGTTGTTGAGTTCCCGGCTTTTTATATATGTGTGCGTGTGAGCCTCGTTGTTAACATATAATCGAAACAAGTTACAATGGCTAGAAAACCAACCTACAATAATTAAGAATAGTCTTTGTATATAATTATACGTACAACTAAATAATTAAATGAATTAAGCTTTAAAATTGTTTAAACATCGGCAATTTTTCAATTGCTTTGATGCCCTTCACAGGCCGCTAGAACAAAATTTAGTTTGTTAAGGACGCACTTAGTGTGCGTGAGTGAGTTGGGCGCGTGTCACGAAACGCACCCAAATGCTCGCCAGGAGTAGTGCATAATAAATATATATACATACAGATATAGATACATATATATATACATGAGAAAACCTATATGATTAAATGTACCTACTATTTACTAATGCATATATACGAGAAATAATACATACAAGTATATACAAAATATGAAAATGAAAACACATACATATATAGAGAATTATATATAGCAGTTTTGCATATGTATTGAAATACTTTCGTACACATATCGTATAGAAGAAATCATTGTTTAATCAATTCATGAATCGCAATCGTTGCCACAGCTGGACACAGCGGCTTCCTCATTTCCCAGACCGACACAGAAGTCAACTTGCAGGATGCGCGAGGTATTTAATATACATACATACATACATACAGCAAAAATTGTACATAAATAGCAACTATAAATGCAAATATAAATTGCATAAAATAAATAATCGAATATTATATGAACGTATTGGAAGAGAAACCACGTGCTTTCGTTTGCCTTTCTAATTTTCAGGATATTTGTGTATAATCCTTCCATGTGCTTGCTAAAAATTTCCAATGCCAATGACATTTAAATAACTCCAAAGAAACAATGCAATAAAGATAAATGAAATAAATAAACTGATTTGACGAACGAGCTATAGAAACGACAACCGAACATTGTAAAATTGTATATAAAATATAAATGCAAATAAAAACTGTAAAAAAAGAAGCAAAAAAACCATGTTTATTTACTTATTGGACAATTACCCTAAGTTCCTGTGAACTGACATTTGACATTAGATTGCAGGATATAAGATATTTTCAGAAAATGCTTTTTGAGACAATGTGGGTCTAGAGTAGAGTAGGGTAATAATCGAACGGTTTTCGATAACATTTTCGTAAATTTTTTTTAGCAGTCTATAATTTTGAAATATTAAAAAAGGAAAGAATGCGGGTAAGCAAGAAAGTTACCATTTTTGTTTGGTAATATTTCATTGGCTTTGAAAATAAAATTAGTAGCAACATTTTATAAAGATGTGCAATTTTATTTTTATCATGTTAAAAGTATTTAAAAAACACAATAAGCGACAAGAGAACAAGGACGAAGGAAGCACAGCTGAGACTGTGTGTTTTGCCTTTTTCTTTATAACTCCATTTCAAAAGCGACGTCAGATGATCTGTTTTTTTGCCAAGTGCAATAGAAAATTCCGATCACGCATCCCTCTGGGCAATCGAACAACTAAAGCATTGCGTTTCAGGATCTTCTACTTGTGCCATTTAATTGATTGATTATAGTGTGTACAATTTTAGGTAAAATAAAGTTTAATTCAAAATCAATAACTCCTTAACGACGTTTTCTAAGGAGTTTTGAGTAATGCTGCTTACTACCGTTCATTAAAACATACTCGTGCATTGATTTATGTAATTCACGTTTTTAATTTTTTCTTGCATATTTGAAACATTTGAATTCTTTAAATTCTATTAATACATAATGTACTTTTAATTTAAATTTATGCTGATACGGTATATTTGAGACCGTAACTTTAGTGCCAAGACTGTTACTTATTTCTATTGCTGATGCACTGGTACTCTTTCTTCCTAGTTTTTTTGGTATATCCAATTTAAAAAAAAAAATTAAACTAAAGTTATAAATGGCCAAATAATTCAGTTATTTGTGAAGCATAACTTGGAGAGTTTTGCTGCTCACTGGTTTGTGTCTTTGTTGGTGTGGTGAAATACATACTTTGTATGCATAAGCACTTTCTGTAATGTACCATATGGTAAGTTTTTAGACAGCAAAGTTACGAACCCATGGGGTGTGGTGTTACGCGACATAAACACATATAATACGAGTACACTGTCGAGCTCCATTCAGAGCTTGGATTGGCTAGCTTAAGACCTATTTCTCATAAAAAATTTGCCTTAATTACTTGGCGTATGTTTTAAATCAGACACCACTTGCAAAATGTTTATCGAAAAATTCGTTTGGCAGAATAAATACATGCATGGTTTTCAAGGAGCTGTATTATTTATTTTTATTAATTTCGTTCCGATTTCGTAGCATCCTGAATAAGAATTATAGACCGCACAACATTTGCATATTCATGAAACATGTTCTGCCATAAGCTGTTGTTCCTGTTGCTTTGATTCACCTCTGTAAGCATGGACAAAAACCCAATACTAATTTTTATACCCTGTACCCAAAGGGTGAAAGGGTATACTAGTTCAGTATGTAGGTCTTATGGTACATACATAGATACTATTATTTGTTTTGTAATTTAGGTTCAATTAATATTAATTTAGAGCATTTAATCAATATTGAATGTTTGAGTTTTTGAGAATTGGGCCCAAATAACAGTAGCAATATATTTTTATTCACAAAAAAAAAAAATTGTCCTTTCTCGGAGAATCTGGATACCAAGTTGATTATTCTAGCTCTTATACTTTCGGAGATTAGGTGCCCTATTGAAGCCTTTTCTTATTTTAACTCATTTGTAAGAATTAACGTTCTTGATTTTACTTGAATAATGTTACAAGTTTTAAATCAAAATATTTCAAACTCAGTTTTGTAGCACAGTTTAATAGATGCGGATGCTATATATAGCTATCTCTATAGGTACAACAAGTGGGAAAATACAGTGCTATATGGATTGCTGAACTGATAAGTCGTGCGCGCTCTGCAATGCTCACATAATAGAGAAGGCCAAAAATAACTTGGATATATGTAGATATTAACATATACTTGTTCCGTTTCGCTTTCAACAAACTAAAGGCTTGAATTTTATTGAATATTACCAACATTCCGGTAATGAAGAAACTAAACATAAGCACTGTAACTCTCTCCTTCAAGTGATAAAAATGCGAGAGTTACAGATTTTAGAACTGAACGATGACTGTCTGTGCAATGTGCTGAAATATTTGCAAATGAGAGATCTGTTTCATCTCTCTCAAGCCTCTGCAAACTGGCAACATATTGTCAAAATATTTACGGCTACTATATATCGAAAGATTGAATGGAATGGATGTGGGAAGTTCACAAAGAACTTCAAACAAAAGCTGCTACTTGGCTGTGAACATTTTAAAGAAATGCGCTTGAAGGCTGGCGGTAATCATTTGGAAAGCACTGAAATTCTTTGCCAGAAAATTAGAAAAATGGTAATGTTAGAGCATTTAGAAATAACACCCATAAGTTCCTGTACTGAACTGGACGGAATGTTTTGGAAAAGCGTTCTGCATGCATTTCAAGAGTTACCCAATTTGAAGATATTACATATAATAGGCGGTAGGTAATCAAAATGTGTGCATTGTTTTATTTAAATATTAACACTTAAAAAGCCATTCTTTTAATAGGTAATTCCGTGGGTTTTAACTATCCCATCTGTTTGAGACACCTTGAAGAACTCACAGTAGACTCGGATATTGATGCTCAAGTCTTGCTTGAGTGTTGTATGTCTACTTCCAAACTTAGTGTTTTGCACCTTAATAGAGTGTACAATGGATATTTGGCTAATATTATTTCACACTGCAACAATTTGGAGGAATTAAAGCTCAGTTTACAATCAAATGTTGACTACAAACCGCTCGCAAAGCTGCCCAAGCTTCGGAAACTAATCATCAATGGGTATGAGAATATAAATGGAATTTGTGACATGTTTAGATGTATCAGTTCTGAAAAAATGGAACAGATAACATATTTACGAATAGGACCTGCATATTGTACCTCCGAAATGACAAAACAAATTTCACGTATGAGGCACTTAAAGTATTTAAGCTACAGATGTCCAGATCCGCAATACATGGAACTTCTTACTCAACTCACAGACCTGGAAGCGCTCTGCATTGATTGGACAATTGCCAGTGATTGTTCAGATCAACTTTTGAGCATTATAAGGGCTTCAGAAAAACTAAAGTGTCTTCGCATTATGCAAGCAAAGAAAATGCCTCCAGACTTTATATTCGAAGTCTCTGACATACTTAAGGCAGTCGGGAGTTCGAGAAAACGTATGCCCCTAAGCTTGGAGCTTTTTGATCATGGCCTTGACCTTCCAGCCACAAAACATGTATGTGTATAAGGATTTTTCTCATTTTACAGCTATTTTAATAATTTTGTTGCTTTTATATATTTTTGGCAGATGAGTACCCTTTTGAAGGTACGCAAGTGTTTGAGTCACAGATCTTATCCCGACGTTATTGCCGGAGATGATTATTTTTACGCAAGATAGTTTATACACATAGTTTATATTTACAGATAGCTTTACAAATAATCAGATGAAAATTAATGATTGTGATATTATGTTCTCTAAAGGTACTCTAGACAGCCCTAATTAAGAAATAAATAGCAAAATATAATCTTCAAACTACAAACATTGTGTATACATAATTATGCATAAAGGAAAATTATGCGAATTTCATGTCAACATTTACAGCCTTTTAGTTAAATCTTTTTTTTTTTCATTTACAACATTTATGCATTTATTTTAATTTAAATTCTAAGACAGATTCTAAATTCTACACCCTTTTTAGTTGTCTTCCATTTCGCGAACACTGCAAATTATTTATTAAAGAAGTAGAATAAAAGATACAGTAAACTAAGCCTGAATTATAACCAACCCACGTGATTGTCTTTGCAACGAAAGTTTGATAAAAGTCTATAATGGGCAACAATTTGGAATAGTTCCGTAGAAACAGAGAAAAGGAACTTGGAGATTTCAATTTGATGTACGTTGTACACTACAAGAATAATAGAATTCGGATGCTTAAGGTTCCTTCAATAACTTTAATTCCTAAGACTATATTAATACCGTTTGTTACAAATACGAAGTGTCTGAGCTGCTTGGGCTGCCATTGTGAATAAGATATATACAGGAAATTATTTAATTATCAGTGTTAGTCGTGCTTAAGTAAGAATTTCGAAATACAACAATAGATACTTTAATATAAAGTTTTATATTTATTAAGTACTTATCAACATATTGACACACAGCTTATCAAGTGTTACTAAATAGGTATTGAACATTTTTTATATTTAAAATACCTTTTTTGTCAGTTTATAAATAAGAATTCCTAATTGATATTTTGACGAATTGAGTTTGTTTCTAAAGAATCAGCTACTGAATGAATAAGCATTACGAACGATTATTTCCGTATGATGGTACAAGCCTTTTGAATACAAGTATATATCCCTTTCCATTTCACGGAGTAATATCAGATTACAAGAGTCAACCTATGCGACAATTTTTGTTATCGGGCAACGTGTGCGGAATAAAGCAAGAACATAACATTCGCAGAACTAATTAGCGGGTTGAATTGTAACAAATCGCCGATTTGAAGATATTCAATTCCATTTGCATTAATTTCACGGACATTTTTGTGGCTGATTTTTGATAAAAATGCTTCTCGTCATTCAAGTTTTCACAATCACTTTAGAATCGCGGGTACTACTAGACTCTGGTCTCTGCCATGAAATCAACAATAAACAAGTAAAAAAGCTAAAGTCGG